TTTCTTCCCTGTTCTCCTTCGTTTAATCCCAGTCGTAATAATTACCCCAATCATTCTTGTTCGGGATTCGGGCTGCACGGCCCAGGGCTCCAGGACTCCCACTGGGCTAGTATAAGGGGATGAGGTTGTCCTGTCCTGAGCGTGGGGCCCCCAGGCACCAGGAGGGTGGGGACATGGCGCTAGACGTGGCAGGGTGTCCAGACGGCATCACTCAGCCAAGTCTCACATCCACTCGTGGGCTTATTTTTTCCCATATACACAGACCGAGGACGCAGGGCCTGAGTGGCAGCTGGGCCGCCCGGCCCCTGAGCCCGGCCGTCCTGTCCTGAGCGTGCGGCCCCCGGTCTCTACGGACAAACTGGATCATCTGCTGTAAGCGCGACGCAGCTGCCGCTCCTCACACGTCTCCACCGGCAGCGCTAAAGAGGACTCAGTTTTACACGGCAGACCTGGCCCTTACAATGCAGCTCAAGCTCACACGTTATGAACCAAAATTAAATATTTCAGAAGCAGCCCCTAAAAGTCAAAGGAAGCAGGTGAAGCTGGCTGTTCCCAGCTGACAGCAGGCAGAGCGAGCAGGTGTCCCAAGTGACCTCAGAACCCAGTGAAGCGACTCCAGCAAACCACGGAGGAAACAGGACATTCATGGGACCCGGAAGGTGGGACCCCCGAGGGATGACGGTTAGTGACACTCAGACATGCGGCCCCAGAGCAGGGAGAGCTGAGGGGTGGGCAGGAATCGGCTGGGTCGAGTCTCTAAGCTTCTCTGGGACCAGGGGCAGGTGGGCCCCGAAGGGACCTCTGACCTGGCTCTGGGAAAGGGGCCCCAGAGCCCACCCAGGGGACAGGAGGAGGCCGGCCACGAGAGGCGAGGAGGACAGGTCCACCCGGGGGGCAGCGGGCAGTCTCCACGGAAGAGGTGGCCTCGCAGGGGCTCGAGAGGCCCAGCCCAGCAGGCAGACGTTCCTGTGGCCGGGCAGGAAAGCCCAATGGCACTGTCGCAGTGCCCAGTGCCCAGAGGGTCCGTGGGTGAGCAGAGGCCTGGGCCACGGGCTGGGGTTGGGACAGGGCCTTCGGGAAGACAGCCGGGCTGCCGAGTGGGGCTGGGCAACGACAGGGCAGTGCCCGGCTCTTCCCCAGGACGTGGCCCCGGCCAGCAACAGCAGAGGTGTCTGCAGGCCCCCACCAGAATGTCCCACACCCGCCCCGTGTCCAAACCTGAACTCGCCTCTCAGCGCAAAACTGAGCGGGGAGTTTGGGGCACGTGGCTCTGGAGCAGCAACAGCCAAGGGTCCCAACAGTTACTGCCCCGCCCTCCCCGCCAACATCACCCACCAGTCGGGACCTTGTCCAAGCGGGGCTGGGGGCCGCGGGGCCCAGCTGCCCACCTGGCCTGCAGCGTCCTCCGGCTGCCTCTGGCCGAGCAGAGCAGCACGCGACGTCTAAACTCAGGAGCCCTGTAGCAGCCCCCTGAGAGCCTCCATCACCCCCCAAGGGCCCCCCGTCACCCCCCTGCTCTTTTCCGGAAAATGGGGACCCCGCCTACTCCCAGGGCTGGGTCTGCCCACGACAGGGGGCCCTTGCCCGGCCCCGGCGCTTGGGGTCTCCCCACTCCCGCCCGGTGTCCCGCACCCTCGCCGCACCAGGACCCATCACAGCTCTGCAGGGCCAGGGCTCAAAGCACACCCTCCGCCGCCTTCTCATCCCCGAGCTTCTCGCCCTTGGACATCTGACCTTCACCTGGTCCAGGGGTCAGGCTCCTAGCGGGGAGCCCTCCTGCCCCCCCAGCTGACAGCCGCCGCCCTGCTGACCACTTTCCCCAGCCACTTCCACGCACTCAGCACAGGTACAAAGAAAGCACCTGCTGCCCCTGCTGGGCCTGCGGGCGGCTCGCAGACACCCTGGCAACAAGGGCCTGGCGAGGGGACACAGGCTGCTCCTTGACGTCCAGACAGAGGCACCAGCCACCTGCCCAACGCACCCCGACAGGAAGACGTGCCCAACGGCATGGAGGACTCCGACGTGGACGGCCCTGCCTCCCCGAGGCCTCCGGGCGGGTGTGGGGCGTGCAGGGGCTGGCCTGGCCCCCAACCCGCCATGTGCCCCCAGAGCAGCCTGGGCCACAGCCCTGGGACGGCCCCCTCCGGAGACCTGCTTCTTGGTGGGATGCCACCTCCGCTCTGAGGACACCTCCCGGGCCTGGAGGGGACACCATGGGCACCCTGCCTTGTCCAGCCTGAGCTGTGGAGCGGGCACTTCCACACAAGTGCTCCCGTGCAGTCCCGTGCCAGGCCATCACCACCCCTGGGGTGGGCAACTTCCCTCCCGGACGCTGGTGACAAATCCCCCAGAGAGGCTGCAGGGTTTGGTGCTGAGGCCAAAGGCAGGGGGCACGTGGTCAGGGACTGGCGGCCTCCCCAAGGGCCAGAGGGCAGGAGGCCTGCTCTCCACAGCAGAGGCCGTCCCTGCCTGCCCAGCCTCCCTGGAACCTGGGGAGGGGACGTAACCCAGCCCTGGCCAATGAGCTGGGACTGGACATCCCTGGGTGGGCCTCTGAGGACTTAAAATGGGAGCAGGGCAGGTTTCCCCGTCCCTCTTGCTGTCTGCCCTCCGCCCCTCCCCCTTCCCTGGCTGGAATGTGATGTGATGGGTGGGGCGTTGGCAGTTGTTTTAGCACAAAGATGAGGAGAGACAGTGCAGCCTGGGCTGCTGATGGCACCCTGAAGACCTGGACTGCCTGCTCCCAGATCCTCGCCATGCAAGGGACAACTCTCCCGCATTTTAAACAATCGGCCACGATGACCTGGGTTTCCTGTCACGAGAGAGCAGCCTGTGGTAGGGACTGGCAGATGACCACGGCACCCCTCTCCTCCTCCTGGGCCTCAGCCAGACAGCATCCCCAGCCTGCTCTGCAGTCATCCGGGGGCCAGTGCAAACCGCCCTTGCTGGCTGCCACCCAGCCTGACGCCTCCAGGACCCCATCCATGCAGATGCAGAGCCAGGAGGGGCCCGTCTGCCCTTGGGGTGTGAGTTCAGCTGGCACGGAGCCGATGCCCCCGTCGCTCACACCTGCCACCGTCCCCCTGCCTCCTCCTCCGGTGGGCCCCAGGCAAGCCCGGACTGGGCTTACGGGACAGTTGTTCCTACCCTACCGGACACAGCTCCCCGTGTGGAGGGGTCTCCTCTCCCTCTGGTGGGGTGACTCGGGCCGGCCACAGATTAGGCCAGAAAGGGTTGGCTGAATGAGATGGGAGCTGGAGGTGGGCCCTGCCAGGGGACGAGGACGAGGGCACATCAGGGAGGCAGAGGGAGGGCTGGCCCGCTCGTCCCTGCAGGAGCCCTGCAGCCAGAGGGCCGACCTGCGCCTGGTTCTCTAATTAAACATCGCTAGTGATTAGACTCTGCTCCCAACCCAGGAGAGACGCTGACTTGGGAATAACTACCGCTGTGCTAAAAACCAGATGCCGAGGCAGGAGGAGGACGCTGGCGGGGGGGTGGCGTCCTGGGGCCCGTTCCTCCCGGGGTACCCGAGCCCTGTGCTGTGGCTCGCCTGGTGCTGACCTGAATTGAGGGCGAGGTCAAGGTGTTAAGTCGGGGTCACGGGGCAGCCAGAAGCTCTGGGTTCCTGAGAGCCCAGCGCCGGCTGTGGGGAGGCTCCCCATCTCCAGGCCTCAGTTTCCCTCTGGAGAGAAGGTCCCAGGACCTCCTCTTCAGGGGGCGGGACCAGGGGGACAGGAGGGACAAGGCTCCAGGCCCAGCAGGAGGCCCTACAACCCAGCAGCCTCTGTGGCACCAGAAGAAACATTTGGATTCAGAAACATCAATACAAGTAATCACAGACTTTCTCCCCAGAATCTTAAAATTAACGATTTCTCAACCTTAAGGAAGACTCAAGAAGCACAAGCCAACGTCAGGAATACGCCTGTCATCACCCTTCAACCTACGTTATGTGAACAGCTTTAGAAGAGGCATCACAGGCCGTGGAAGCCGCTGCCGTGCAGCCCCGCCTGCCCCCGCTCTCCCGACCCTGGGAAGCCTGAAGGCCTCTCAGCACCATGACCTCGGCCAGGATGCGTCACCAGTGTTATCCCTGCACGAGGAACACGCCAGAAGCAGCACGTCTGGAGTCTGGGCAAATCTGGCTGCGAGCGCCACAGGAACTGACTCCCCAGGAGCCGCGTCTGGGCCTTGCCCCCCTCCCTGCCCCACCCAGCGGATGCCCACTCAAGACAAATCTGGTGACACCCAACGCCAAGCACAAACAGGGTCGGGCCCGCCGACGACTCGGTGCGGGTGGGCGGCCACGGGGAACCCCACGCGGGACCCTCTGGACAAAGCCAGGAGCAGACGCGCAGGGTCCTCCGTCGATAACCCCGACGTCCGAGGGCGTGGCCCCCACGCAAGCCACCCTCCAGTCCCCGGGGCTCCTAGGCCTTCCACCTCCCACCCGCTGGGCCCTTCCTCCCCTGGCCCGCCCTGAACCCTGCCCAGCACGGCGGCAGGGGAGTGATTTGCTGGGGGCCCCAGAGCGACCCTGACCCTCTACCCAGGACACCACCACCCACATCCTCCCTCTCCCAGGGCCCTGCTGCCCCCAGCCTCAAGTCCCCTCTCCCAGCTGCTCCCATCCTGCCCCCCAGCCTCCAGGCAAGCGGCTGGCACCCCCTGCTGCGTGTGTACCAATGTCGCCTCTTCCCTGGGGACCCCGCCCCACCCGCTTCCCCAGAGGGTGGTGCTCGACCCTCCCGCGCAGCCCCTGGCTTCCTGAGCCTGGCACCTGCTGCTCCGGCCGCCGGATGACACCCCTGGTCCGGACACTCTGCCTCCCCCGCGGCCCCTCAGGGGGCTCCTCCTCCAGCCCCCCACTCCCTCCCACGGGCCCGGCCCAGAGCCCCTCCAAGGCCCTGCCGGGCGGGAGCCACAGCCCAGGCCCACAAGCCCTGCGAGCCTTCTCCTGCTGTGTGCATTTAAAATGCACACAAAAACCATGGAACCGTTTGTCATTTAATTTTATTACCAGATAGTCCAAGTTCATTCTGCAAAGATTAAAACCACAGACAGGGCTGTGAACGTGGAAGTCCCTCCAGCTCCGAGACCACAGCCAGCAGGCTCCCAGGCTGGCGAGGTCTCTCCCACCCGCCCGCCTGCTTTCACCACCCACCTGCGCCTGCCTGATGTCGGGGAGGGCGGCGTCCCCACACGCTTGCAACTTCTCAGGCCACTTTCCGGGGCGAGGCCCGAGTCAGCCGCGGTGGACGGCGGCGCCAGTCTGGCACCGCGCCCCCGTCCTCCCTCCCCCCATTCCCCCCCAGCACAGCGGAGGGGAAGCTCCTGGCGTCCGGGCAGAGGTCGGGGGCCCTGACCGAGGGCATCTGGAGAAGCGGGCAGAGCCACGCCCATCCATGGTCAGCCTGGAGCCACTGGAGCACCAGGAAGCTAGAAGGTTTTTCTCTTAAAATAATACACAACGTGCAGTCACTGTTGACAAACTCAGACAAAACAGAAAAGCGTGAAGAATGCCCGCCGAGTGGCCGCACCACCTCCTGGGTGGCCGGCACCGAGCTCCATGGACATCCTGGGTTCTTCCAGCACCTTTTTTATTGCAATAATAAATGGGCAGTCACAACACGACCACGTCAACTGCCTGTCTCACTTCGGTAGACCCGCCTGTGCCGAGGACAGCAGCCCCGTCGCTTAGGGTCTGGTGGAGCAGGGCGACAATGGCAGAGTTGGCCCCCTGGGCACCTCCTCGTGGGCGTCCCCGGAGCTCAGGCATGCCCCGCGCTGCGTCAGGACTGCCCACTGCCCTCCAGCCGCATCTGCTGGGCCAGCTGCCGCCCGATGGCCTGCAGGGGGCTGGCTCTGTAGGCCGGGCTGGCCAGCAGCTCCCGAAACCGCGTCCTTTCCTCCTCACTGAAAGAATGGAGAGCAGAGGTCAGCAAACCCCATGCCCGCAGTGGGGGGCTGGGGATGAGCCGTCAGCACCCCCAGGACCAGCCTCGGCTCGGCCAGCCCGCAGGGACACCGGCAAAGGGTGGTCCAGGACCAGGATGAGGGGTGGGGAGTGAGGAAGGCTGTGCGCTGTGAAGTTCTGCTTGGAGCGTCTGGGGGGTGGGGCGGGCCGAGGGGGGTCTGAGGCCCGACAGGGGCTTTGGGCAGGACGGGAGTGGCTGCCCGGGGGCCTCCTCGTGGTCACAAAGGCCCCTCATCCCCGACTGTGACGGGGAGCGGCTATCAAAGGCAGCAGGTGGCAGGCGCCCTGCACACACGAGGCCTCGCGTAAGCGGCGCCTCCAGCAGGCACCGGGCACAGGGGCTCCGGGCCGCACGGCGGCCATGGTGACGGGCTGCTGCAGTGGGCCCGCCCCTCCACAACAGAATCCACTGCGGGGCTGCCACTCTGCGCCTGTCCCTACAGCCAGCCGGCCCCCGTCTGGAGCTGCACGGGCCCACAGCCCAGCACGGCCACGGGGGCCTGGCCAGAATCGCAGGGCAGCAGCTCCAGCACAAGCCCACACGAGCCCGTCGCGGCACCACGGTGGGGACGGCCCTGGCCTTGGGCGGGCAAGATGGCGTGGAGGGCCCAGCCGTGCTCTGCCCCCACGGGTATGTGACCGAGGGCAAGGTCAAACCACACTGGGCCCCAGCTTTCTTTGCTGCTAACGGGGAGACTTTGGACTCCACTGGATGACTGACTGCCCGGCCACATGTCCACACACGCAAGATGCCTAGGATCTGGGCCCCGAGAGCGGCCCCCCGAGAGCCAGCAGCTGCTCCCCTCACTGCCCTGGGGGAAGGGGCTTCCTGGCCCCTGGAGTCAGGCTGGGCCCAGAGCTGGCCCTGGCTGAGCTGTCCCCAGCACCCGAGGGACCGGGGTTAGGGGACGCGGCCCGACGCCTGACAGTCCCGGGGGTGGGCCGTGCAGAGGCGGGGCCATACTCACAGGAGCTGGAACTTCTGTGCCGCGCTCATCCGGCTCAGCTGGGCTGCCCGGGGCCTGATGGCCGCTCTGCTGGGGACACAGAGAAGACAGTCAGGAGAGCACGCGCCCACCTGGAACCTCCGCCAGAGCACCTGACTCAGGCCACGGTCCATGGTGCACACAGGGCTCTCCTCCCATGCGAGCCTGGGGGCACGTGCGGCCTCACGGCGCCACACGGCAGGAGGGACCCAGCAGGGGCAGGAGGGACCCAGCAGGGGCGGGAGGGCCCAGAAAACCAGGAAATCCTGGGTCGACACCTAAATTTAGCCTCCAGACCGGGAGCCCTCATCGTGTATTCAAGTTTCTTCGTAAGTTATGAATGAAAGGCGTTTCTTGTCTCCGCTCCCCGGGTCCCGGCCGCTCTGGGGGCGCTCCGTCCCACTCCAGGCCAGCCTCGGTCCCAGGACACTGCGGCCCTGTTCGTCCGATCACTGACACCCTCTGTGTCCACCCGGAAGCAGTCCCCCGCCGACCACCCAGAGCTCCCGGGAAGCCCCACCCTTGCCGAACCGGTGGGCCCGGGCTCCCTTCCCCCAGCCAGCACCCCCAGGAGGCAGTCATGCGCTGGGGCATCAGAAGGCCTTGGGCCTCCACCCCCGTCTAGCACAAGGTAAAAAGGCTCCCCACAGCCGAGGGCACCAAGGTGTGAACACACACCCAGGAGTCCCCTCGGGGCCCAGGGTCCAGGTGCGGCCAAGCACAGTGCACTGGGGGCACGGTTGGGGGGCAAGGAAGGGCAGGACCCTCGCCCGAGCCTCAGGGCACGTCCAGGGCCTGTCAGGCCATTCACAGGGGGAGGCAGGACCCTCCCCAGTGGTGTTTTCCACTGTGGACAGACGCAGGCGGGGTGGATTCCCCGAGGCCGCAGGCTTGAAAGGAACTGACCCCCAGCACTCACCCCAGCGGCCCGGGCAAGGGCTTTCACACCCGACGCTGGCCCCGGTCCTGCCCGCCCGCTCTGAAGTCCCCCTGGGGAGGGCCCCAGCTCACTTACGGCGGCCAGGCCTGGCTCTGGCCGCACGGCCGAGTTGGGTGGACAGGGGTAGAGACCTTCCTGCCAGGACCAACTGCAGCTCGGAGCACACTGCCCGCCGCCCAAGTGTCCACAGAGGTGCCTGGGCTGGAAGAGGACCCCAGCCCTGGCTGCCCTGGGAGGAACCTCAGGGAAGCTGCTCCACCTCGAAGCCTGTTTCCCCAACTGTAAGACAGGCCAGTGCGTTCCTGACAGGCTCTCTTCGGCCGGCACTGAGCGCCCAGGTGGCTCCCAGCTTTGAGGCTCTTGTGCCACTCCCTGCCCCTCCCCCTCTGACGTGAATGTGCCCATGTATCACACCCAGCCCAAGGGGACGGGGGCCTAAAACCAAGCACCAGCGGACGAACCCCGGAGGTCCCAGGGGCCGAGTGAGCCCTGCTGACGTCAGGTCCAGGCTCCATGCGTGAGGCCCTCCACCTTCGTCCGCTACGACCTTCGGGCCGCGGAGGACCGACGTCTTGGGGAGTCTAATCTTCCCTGATGAGCGCGGCCCATTGGCAGCGGCACTGCCCACTCACTGGCTCTGGCCTCAGGGGCCCCGCGGGCTCTCCAGGGGGCCTTGGTGCCCCGTCAGTGCTGGGCAGCGCCCACCCGGAGTGTGGGGAACACCTGGACCCCCTGGGCCCACTCAGAGCCTCGGGCTCTCCCCCCACCACCCTGCAGGGCCACCCAGGTTTGGGACAGGCTGGGAGCAGCCCAGGGCCTCAGTCAGGGTGTCCCACATGGCAACTGGGGACGGAGGCCTTGCACTCGGGATCTGGGTTCCCAGGCACAAGGCTGCCCCCCAACACATTCCACCCAACTCGGATGCCTGGCGGCACGTCCTGAAGTCACCTGTCAGCTGGGCCATTCGTGTAACCTGCTGCTTGTAACAGGCACCCCTGGCGTGAGCTGCCCTGAAGGGCACCGCCTTCTCTCAGCTCCAGGAAACCCTGCCCTTGTGAAGACACAGAAGAGGCCAGACACTTTGTGCAGCGAACATCCCAGGGCTGGGTCAGCTCTAGGAGCCGGAAGACTGAGGGTTCATGACACGGGGACCCCAGCCTTGTGAATGGGGCTGGGGGCTCCCAGCCAGGGCTGGGTCTGCTCTAGGAGCTGAAAGACTGAGGGTTGATGACACGGGGACCCCAACCTTGTGAATGGGGCTGGGGGCTCCCAGCCAGGCGTCACTTGGCCAGAAGGCCACAGGAACGGAGTGAAGGGACCACAGGCAAACCATGCCGGCCTGCTCGCCCATGCCCCCAGGGGTGGAGACTGGTGGGGGTCCCTGCACGTCCTGGGCAAGACCTCTGTGCTGCCCCCACAGGGAGGGAAGACTGGAACACTCCCGGGCCCTCCCACGGTCTCCTCCCCTGGCTGATTTTAAATCTGTACTCCTTCTCCGTAATAAACTGTAACTGAGTGTAATGGCCTTTGTGAGAATCATCAAACCTAAGAGTGATCTTGGGGACCCCAGACTTGTGGTCGGCATGAGAAGTGAGGATGGACTCACAGACTGTTCCCCGAATTTCACACACCTGGGTCAGGACACACACATATGTCCCTGCTGTCAGCTGAGAGGGCCTAGAAGCAAGCACACCGCAGCCGCGGTCGGCACGGCCTCGAGCACCTTGTGCCAGAGAGGGAGGAAAGTGCTCGGAAACAAAACACAACAGCCTCCACGGATGGGTGTGTCGGGGGAACAGCAGAGCCAACCGAAGGAGCTGCCAAGGACCAGAGCTGGAGCCGGTTCAGCAACAGAACAAAGTCGTATTGGATCATGGCCCGAAGTATAAAATAAATACCCATGGGTCCAAACGGACGTAAATATGTGATTGATAAGGCAACGGGGGAAGAGGGAATCTGCTCTGCAGGAGAATCCACGTGGTTCTGCAGACACTCCGTCCTCGGGGAGGGGAGGGGAGCGTCCCGCCTCCTTGGGTGCGGGGTGTGCACGGTGACCTCCTTCCAGAGGACAGTGGGGAAGGGGGGAGCAGATGCACAGCGGAGAGACCTGACAGACACACCTGCACCAGGTGACCAAGGTCAGCGTCCACGGTGCAGGTTACGTGACAGCACGCACCCCGGAGGGGACGTGATGAGACAGGCCCTTCCCCTCTGTGGTCTTCACTGAGGGACATCCTGAAAAATGCCTGACTGGTCCTCAAAACTGTCAAGGTCATTAAAGACAAGAAGGTTGGGACTTCCCATGTGGCACAGTGGTTAAGAATCCGCCTGCCAATGCAGGGGACACGGGTTCGAGCCCTGCTGTGGGAAGATCCCACATGCCGCGGAGCAACTAAGCCAGTGCACCACAACTACTGAGCCCACGTGCTGCAACTACTGAAGCCCATATGCCTAGAGCCCGTGCTCCACAACAAGAGAAGCCACCGCAATAAGAAGCCCGTGCACCGCAACTAGAGAAAACCCGCACAGCAAGACCCAACGCAGCCATAAATAAATAAATAAATAAATTTATTTATTTATTTAAAAAAAAAAAAAAAAGACAAGAAGGTCTGAGAGACTGTCACAGCCCAGAGGAGCTCTGAGGGGACACAATGACTACATGCCATGTGGGGTCCTGGATGCGGTCCTGGGACAGCAGAAGGACACCAAGGAAAACTGAGGAACTGTGAATAAACTGTGAGCTTTTAGTCAATTATTATTTTAAGCTTATTATTTATAAATCAGTGTTGGTTCCTTAATTGTGACAAATGCACACGCTGATGTAAGACGTCACAGAGAGGAAGCCGCGTGCAAGTTGCACTGGGACTGTCGGTATTATCTCCGTCATTTTTCTATTTACATTCAAACACTGTCCTAAAATAATGTTTACTTAAACGAACAGCTCCCCAGTGCCAAGAGGCTCTAGACAGGGAAACGGTGACCCCGGTCGACCAGAGGCTGGGTCTGGGAGAGCAGCTGGGCCCCCGCAGCCCCACGCGGTCCTCCTCGGGCTGCTGGCCGCAGTGTTTACACAGCTCTCTCCCCTCGGGGAGCCCCGAGCACATTTTTCAGATGAGAAAACTAAAAGCAGGGAGAGAGAGGATGCTTGACTGGGTCACATTTTTGTTCAAGAACCAGGAATGGAATGTGCATTTTGGGTTCTGGTTCTGTCGCCAAATCTCAGCTCTGGTGGCCACTCCTTGTCTGGACCTGATGTTCTGGGCACTTCCATCCTGGAACCGGCCTGGACCGGCCATCTGGCTCTGCAGCCAAGGGGCCCTGGGCGTGTCCCCTGCCAACCCCGGATCCTTCCTCCTCAGAGGGGAATTCGGTAGGAGAAAGAATTATTTCAAAAAGGCAAAATGAGAGACAACACAGTAAACGATGGCGGTCCAGCAACTGTGACAGAACAGAAAGGCCCTCCAACTGCTGCCCGTTTGTCCTAAAGCTGAGGTCGTGGTCACACCTGCGCTGGCGCCTCCCAGCCAGGCCAGGCGGCCTCACCCTTGCTCGGAAACGGCAGCCCGGGCACAGCAGCGGGACGTGCTCTCCTAAAGCACACAGGACTCAGGGAGGCAGGAAGGGCCCCAGGAGGACGGCAGGTCCTGGGAGGGAGGCAGCAAAGGCAGCAGCTGCGGCTGCCGGGAGACAAGCAGGAGAGCACAGAGCCCGGCGGCGGCCCGGCTGAGCGGCTCTGGCCACGCGGCGGGAGAGCAACAGTGCTGTCCACGTGCCGCCGGGCTCCCGCCCCTGAGGAGGCCCCAGGGCCCCTGGCTCACGGCTGGGCCTGGGACAAGGGTGTCCAAGTCAAGATGGGCCTCTCCGGGGTCAGTGCCCAGCCCAGCCACCCACCTGCTCGTCCTCCCGCCCTGGACAAGGCGGCGGCCCCGTGGCCAGGACACTCACCGCTGGCCACCCATCTGCAGCTCCAGCAGCTCGGGCAGGGCGTCCCGCAGGGGCTGCAGGTCCCCTACCACCACCGTGGCCCTGCGCCTCTGCTCCGCCTTGCGCTCCTGCTCCGCCAGCCTTGTGGCTTCAATCTCTGAGGAAGGGGGATAAGGGGTCAGCGAGAGGGGACCCAGGAGGACAAGCGCCCGGCCGCCGCCCTCAGCGACAGAGGGTCCCGACTCCCAGCCCACAGAGCCCGAGCTCGGCCCGGACCCCGGGGGCGGGCTGGCTGCCAGCGGTCTGCTGCCCTTAATCCCGGAGGTGGCTGTCGAATTACAGGCTGATGAGGGGACGGGCTCAGGCAGGGAGCGGCCCCTGGGAAGGCCGGCCGGCCAGCTGCGGGAGCGGGGCAGGCGGAGGGAGGGGCCGCACAGGCAGAGCAGCCGGCCCCTCCCGCTCTGCTTCCCTTGTGCCTCCTAGGGACACACCCAGGAGGGAAAAAGAGGTCCCCACGGGAGACGTCAGCAGGCAGGAGGGTCCCCAACAAGGCAACAGGGTGCGAGTGGCCCGGTCCAAAGCGAGAGGAAACATGCACCGCGGGGTCTCAAGGGGGCTCCTGCACTGGTTGGGGGGGGGGCCTGGGAAGAGGGGTATGGGCACTGGGACAGACCCTGGGGAGGGGGCGGCGCGGCCCGGGGGTCCAGGGTGCCGAGCAGAGGGCAGGGCACGGATGAGCCACCGGGGTGAGGCTGTGCCGGCCGGCAGGGCCTGGACGGGGACGTGGCCTCAGGATCTGACTTTCATTTTAAAATATATGTATTTCAAAATTGCTAATAAAACACATACTCAAATGCATTATTTCCACAGTGTGGCTCGTGGAAAACACCAGCTCACTAGCTTGTGTGCAGACCTTGCTCCAGGGAAACTGCCTGAATCTGTGACAATTGATTTGTTGATTGTTCTGCATTAGATTCCTTAAAAAAAAAAAAAAAAAAAAGGCTCTGCTACTAAAAAGCTTGGAAATGAGGCTCTGATGTGATAGATTTGGGACAATCAGACTGGAGCCTGAGAGGCTCTCCTGCCTCCCAACTGCACGAGGTTTATTGGGCTATAAATAACCAGGCTGCAGACTCTGAATCACATCTAAAAAGGGAACTGAGAGCACCTTCCTGACAAGCAGCCGACAGACTCACAGCCCAGCCGACAGAGGCCTGGAGATGCCAGCAGAGAAGCGTCAGCCAGCGGCCCAGGTGGCCCGACGCGGGGCGTCTCCCTCCCGAGGGGCTGTGCGTCTGCAACCGGTCCTTCAGGCGCTGTGGCCATCCGGCCACCCCTCGGGGCAGGTGCAGGAGGTGATGGCGGCGGGCACGGCACCCAGAAGGGCGGTGATGACACCAGGCACGGGGCAGGCCAGGAGGACGGGGACCTGGACGGGGGCCCCACGAGTGAGGACTCAGGACAGCCCATCGATTATTAGTACAAAGAACATGCGTGCACTCGGCTTGGCCCCGGTCCACCCAAGCCCCAGGAGGTGTATGAGAAGTGAGGGATGTGTAGCGACCCTTAACGGGCATTTCCAAAAGAGAACACTTTCTGGAAACAAGGTGCGTGGGAGGCCTGGCAGGAGCAGCTCGTCCCCAAGCTCGGAGTCCACCCTCGAAGGCCCGCGCAGCCCAGAGAAGCTCGGAAAGGCCCACCTGGACAAGCCAAGTCAGGGACACACCCACCCCAGTTGCACCCAGACTGGGAGAGTCCAGGGGACCCTCAACTCACCCCAAAGAGCTGAGCTCTGGGGACGAAGACCGCCCGTCCTCCCGGGTCCTCCTGCCCTGGGCCCCAGGCCACCCCTCCATGCCAGGGATGTTAGGATGTATAGGGTGACAATTCAGTACTCTCCGTGCTGACAGGATAAACAATCTACTCAGTACCTCATCAAGCCGGGTGACTCTTCCCAGAGCCCTGGCTCCCAGGAGGGCCGAGGCAGTAGCGGGGGGTCGGGGGGTTCAGGCAGGGGAAGGGACAGGGTGGCTCCCTCCCTGGCTGGCCGGCCCGGCGCCCAAGCTGGGGGACCAGGCAAAGCAGACCCAGCTCACAGGAGGACAGAGGCGAATGCCAGCTAGTCAGAGCCAGAGCCTTTTAGGTTCAAAGCGTGCGGGGTCCACCTAGGACGCATCCGAAGCACGTGCAAGGACAGCACAACACAGGGACACGTGCCGGGTGGCCACTGCAGTTGCTGCTTCAAAGGGAGAGACTACAGTCACCACAGAAGTGCCCGAAGAGTCTGACAGAATTCACTGTCCACTCAGGGTAAAGGTTACAGTGAAACCAAGAACAGAAGGAACTTCCTTAATTTGAGAGAGATCATCTACCAGAAATTCCACATCTTGTGTACATCAGGCAGACTCTCTGATGAAGCAGGCCACAGAAGGGATGGCGGACACCCCCGCCAACCTGGCCAGGCGGCTCCGAGCCCAGGGAGGGCGTGAGCGCGGCTCCCACACCGGCCTCAGGTCTGACGCAGCTCCAGCTCCAACAGGGCCTGTAACTGAACCTGGGATCTAATTCCAAACCTTATTTTTTAAAAACACTAAATGTGTAAGAATAGCCAAAACATTTTTGAAAAAGAACAAGAAACAAGAGAGCTGGCCTACTGGATATTAGAGCAAATTATGAAACGAGGGAAATTCTGACAAGGAGGCGTCAGGGAGGTGGGAACTCGAAGAGCAGGCTTTGCGACCAGCCATCCTGGGTAAAGGGCGGGGGGCGGTCCCTCCCTCCCGCTACTCCTAAAAATTACCCATGCAAGAACTGAATACTACAAATGAGACAATTTCACTGGCGTGTGGGATGCTGAACGTGGGAAATTTTTATGGGCTGAAACCTGTGTTTCTACGTGCTGCCCAGGAGGGCAGGCCAGATCCCTGAAGGCCCATCCATCCTGGTCATTTTCTCCTTGCCTCCTTGCCCACATTTGCTAACCTGTAAGAAACTGAAGGTAAGTTCCTTACAAACAGGGCCCAAAACAGAGCTCGCATGAGGACCACTAGCTTTATGCACCGTCACGGCCTGGGGTTACTGACCCTGAGCAAAGCTGGCTCACAGGACACTGACCATGGCCCAGTCCTCAGCCCGTGGAGACTGGGACCAATTCTCACCCCTTCTAGCAACACTGCAAAGGTTCCGGCCACTGCAGTAGGATGAGAAGACGACATAAAACAGAGTTTGAAAAGAAAGTGGTAAAACCGTCTCTATTTTAGTAGCATGATCATTTATGCAGAAAATTCTAAGGAATCTCCAGGATAACTACCAGAACTAACACAATTTTAGCAAGGCCAGAGGATGCAAGATTAATAATCATTCATAAGTAATTAATTAATAATATAATAAATAGCAGAAAACCGGAAAATGAAGCTTTTGTGAATTTCATTTATAACAGCTTCAAAAACTGTAAAACAGCAATAAGCTTATCCAAAAACCCCACAAACCTAAGACCTCTGCTCTGAGAACCACGAACACTGACGACAGAAACTAAGCAAAACGTAAATAAAAGGGGAGATACCACGTTCACGGATGAAGACCCAATACTGTTAAAATGGCCATTCTCCTGAACTGACCTACAGACTCAGAGCAATCCCTGTCATTGCTATCATAGGCTGTGTTGGTGGTGGCGAAGTTCAAGACATTGACAAGCCTGTGATAAAATTCATATGGAAATGCGATGAACCTGGACCACCCAAAGCAGTCTTGAAACAGAGGACCTGGGACACAGGACTTCCCTTATCTGACGCCAAGACCTGCTTCACAGCTGCACAATTGAGACAGCCTGGTACTGAGAGGCTATCTGACTTTTCACAAAGACACAAAACTGACGAGGAAAGAAAAGTCTTTACAACAAATTGTGCTGGAACTGGAAAAAAAAAAAAAAGAAGAACCACCTGAACCAGGACTTCACACCACAAACATTAATTCAAGATGGATTACAAACCTAAACGAAAAAGCCAAAACCGCAAAGTTTTTAGAAGAGTAGGATTTATCCGCCTGACTTGGGACTGGGTCATTTTCTTAAACAAGACGCACCCTGGCGCCGTAAGGAAAAAAGACAGATCAGCCTCCTCAAAATTAAACTTCTGTTCATAAAAAAAAAAAAAAACTGTTAAGAAATTAAATAGGCAAGTCCCAGTCTGGGAGAAAATTATTTGCAAAACACACCTGACAAGACTGGTCTCTAGGACGGAGGAACTCCTTGATCTCAACAATAAAGAGCCCAGCAAGAGCCTCATGAAACAGACCCTGGGCCTCAGAGGGCGCCCCAATGGGCAGCAGCACGTGAAAATGCCCGTTCACCATGACAACGGGCACCTCGCGCTCAGCAGCTAGGACTGCAGGGACAGACGTGCCGGCACAGCCGTGGAGCAACCACAACTCTCCCACGTTGCTGGGGGGGCGTAAACGTGCAACCACAGTAGGGAAACGTCTGGCAGTTGCTTATAAAACTAAACATACACCTGCCCTATGACCCAGCGTTCCATTCCAAGTATTTACCCAAGAGAAATGAAAACATATGTCCACAAAAAGACTTGTAGAGAATGTGCATAGCAGCCTTATTCACAGCAGCTAAAAAGAGAAAACAGACCAGGTGTCCATCCATAGGAAAGTGGACACCAAACGGTACGTCCACATACAGAAACACTTCTCAGCAACAGAAGGGTGCAGACTACGGCTACACGAAGCACGGACGAGCCCAGTGCCAAGCTGAGCAGAAGAACCCAGACACAAAAAGAGCACATCCTACATGACTCCTCTTATACGATGTCTAGAGCAGTAAAACCTAAACTCTGACCTGAAAAAGACCAGATGGTGGCTACCTCGGGGGGAATCGGGACCGGGAAGGGGCACGGGGCATTTCTGGGTGATGGTGATGGTCTTCACCTTGAAAGGGATTCTGGTTGTACAGGTGTAGGCATTTGTCATAAATCACTGAAGATTTGCATTTCACTGCATGTAAATTTTACCTCAAAATAAAAACTGAAAAGAACCATAAGCAAATACTGAGCTGCAGTGGAATTTACTTGGGAGAGTGTGCTGAAGTCTATAATTTACTTTGGAACACGCAGCTAAGACATAGGTTGGTGTCTGGATAGACAGATGAGCAGACATGTGATAAAGAAGTGAGGTGCTCATTGTAAAACGTGGATGGTGGGCATAAGGACGCCCACTGTAAAATTCTTCCTACTTTTCCATACAAAACTTTTTGTAATGAAATACTAAGTAAAATCAACTTCGGAGGTGTAGCTAAAGCTATATTCAGAGGCTGACATACAGCCTTTCATTCCTAAACAAAACATACAAAAATAAATACGTCACTAAAACAAACCTAAAGAAACCAAGAATGGGGCACTAAAAAAATAGAAACTAACAATTTGGAAAACAGAAGAGGAGAAGCGACAACTAAATACAAGAACTCTTGGCATGGAAGAGACAAAATTAACCAGAAATTAGAGAATGGGATACAAATAAAGAATGATAAACAGGATATTAAATAATGAGAAGCCAACAACTCTGCTAATAAACGTTGAAATCTGATTAGATTAGATGTTTTTATAGGAAAATGAGTGACCAAGATTAACTCAAGTAGTTAGAAAAAGACCAACCATCATGGAAGAAAACTTAAACGTCTTCAAAAATTTGTAGCCCATGGGTTTCCCTGGTGGCACAGTGGTTGAGAGTCCACCTGCCGATACAGGGGACATGGGTTCGTGCCCCGGTCCGGGAAGATGCCACATGCCGCGGAGCGGCTGGGCCCGTGAGCCGTGGCCGCTGAGCCTGCGCGTCCGGAGCCTGTGCTCCAAAACGGGAGAGGCCACAACAGGAAGAGCCCGCCGTACCCCAAAAAAAAAAAAAAAAAAAATGCAGATCATGTTCTGTGTGAGAACATAAAGAAAAAACCATTTCAAATTAATTTTAAAAGTCAGCAAAACACTAAAAAGACCTGTAAGAAAAAAATTTCAAAACAATCTTCACAAGAAAATCTTTAGAAAAAATCAGCAGATATTCAGCATCAAGAAATAGAAGTATCTTTCCCAAGCAAAATTAATAAGAAGAAATCCACCCCACAGACAGGTGCTCGGAAAGGAAGGAGCCACCAACCCCCGCAGAGCGGAGGCCCGGGGTCCCCGACCCCCCCAGGTGGGTGAAGAGCCGCCTCTGCTGGGGACCCTGTACTGTCACACGCCCGGAAGAGGGCCTGGAGGGACACACGCAGAACCAGAAAGTGGGAAATTTCGTAGGTATCATAAAACACCCAACCCGCACGCACTCCCTTTGCAATGCTTTCCACGGGAGAAGCAGCTTCCTGCAACGTTCCCAGTGGGGGAGGTCGGGGTTGAGGCAAGGCCTTGCGGACACTTGCACAGGTGACAGGGCCAGCCCCTCCCCCCGCGGGGCCGCCTACTTGTCACATCGCAGGCCCCCTCCTCCAGGGCCCCAGACCACCCAAAGCGGGCTCCGAGCCAGCCCGGGACAAGGCCCCACCAGGGACAGGGCCCCACCAGGGACAGGGGGAGCTTACTCTGCAGCCACCTCTCGCGCCTCAGCTTCAGCTTCTCCTTCTTGGGCAAAACAGCCTTGGCCTTGGCACCTGCGGACAGAGAACACAGGGTGAGCAGGACAAAGCCAGGAGCCCAAGGTGTGCACACAGGTGTAGCTATTCAGGGTGCCCGGCCATCGCGCCTGGCCCCGGCTGCGGGACACCAGGCCCCCCAGGCAGGGCCGCAGCACACCAGGCAGAGCGACTCCAGGCTGCCCCACTCGCTGGGCCTTAGCTGGTTTCCCCAGAGGTAACGCGGCTTAAGCCCAGGCCACGTTCCACCCGGGTCGCATTCTGTACAGGATCTGACTGTCCCGCAGATTCCCGAGCTGGTACAACACACCCACGGCGTCTAAGGAGAAACAGCGCAGAGATGAGCTCCGTCAGGGCGGCGCTCCTGGTCAGCTGGACTTGTCAGTTCAGGATCCCCTGTAAACGCCCGTAACCCGTGACCACGCTGCGGCCGTGCCTGGAGCTGGCCTGCTTTCCTCCCCACTCACCCCGACCTCTCAGCCCAGCAGGAAGGGGAGGCGCAGGGCCGTCAGTCACCCTGTGCTAGGTCGGTGGGCTGCTCAGGATGCGGGCGGGTGTGCAGGAGGGTGACGGGAGGGAGGGGCTGCATGGCAGGCGCCCTGCAGGCGTCAGCGGCTGTGGGACTGTGGGTGAGGGAGGGGATGTCCCCGGGCCGGCGCGGGGCCCAACCGCCAGTGGGGTGAGGGTGGCATGTCTGGGGCAGGAGCCTTAGCAAGGGCAGCAGCGGCAGGAGGCAGCAGAGGCGCCTCACACGGGAGCCTCGCACCCACCCTCAGAGATCCAGGGAGAAGTCTTCTCTGCCTTGCTCCTGATTCTGAAATAATTTCAAAAGAAAAAAGAGTCTACGACCCGCAGAGACTGACAGAACCGTAAGCGCATGTGGCATCTGAACGAGCGGCAGGCTGGCACGCGGGTCGGAACCCTCCCCGCGCCACCCAGGACCCCTGCCCAGCAGCCCAGGAAATGGGACCCGGCACGCTGACCCTGTGAGGCCCAAGGGACTGGGGAAGCTTCAGTCTCGCAGAGGCTGCAAGCCCGAGAACCGGGGAGCCTCCGGCCCAGGGCGGCCAACAGACGCTGCCCCCAGGGGTACGGGAGGGAACAAGCGGGAACAGGCACTGCGGGGCCAGGGCGACTCAGGTCTGCTCACCTCAGCATCCCACCAGGGACCCCGAGGGCATCTGGAGGCTCCAAAAGCCCAACAAGCCCAACCCCCAAGGGCTGGCAAAGCCCTTCAATTCGACAGTGAGGGGCCAGGTGGACCAGCCTTAAGAAGAAGGCGGTATCTGGGCAGGGCCACCACGTCCCCAGGGCTGCAGTCAGGGCTGAGTGAGGGCAGCACGGCTGCCCGGAGCGGTGCTCTATCCTGTCTCTGGACATCTCCAGGGCTGTAGAAGGACACGTATGTCCAGCCAAAGGAAGAGGGCCTGGCTCCATAGCGGCTTTAATGGAAGTTTTCAAACTCACAGGAGAGAGGGCCCTGTGAAGAACCCTTGAGTGTCCCTGACCACATCCACCCGACCCTGGTACTTCAAGCCAACCCTAGATGGGCCAGCGCCCATCGTCCGGACTCTGGGACAGCAGGCACATCTAAGTCCCCCAGGTGTGTGAGCCAGCCCTGTGAAAGGGTCCCGCCTGCGGACATGCTGCCAAGCACCAAGTGCAAGTACCCGATGCACAGTGAGGCCAAACAACTGCAACATCAGAGCTGGAGCAGGGAAGCGCTGTGAAGGGCCAAGCAAGGAGACGGGTGGCTTGTGCTCAGAAAACCCCAAACTGCCTGAAAGGCTTCAGCAAAGCATTCTGAAAGGCCCCGTGACAGAGGCAGGTGGCAGGGTAAGTGATCAGCTCGTGCACAGCTCTCTGACTGGTTGATGGTGAGGTGACGGGCTGGTTAACACATGGCACCAGAAGGTCTGGGGGCTTCGTGTTCAGGGTCATCAAGTAGTTAATTTCTTCCACGTAGTGGTGGTTTTTAGCACCTGAAAAACTCAGGAAATATGCTCAAGGTACTATTACCTGGGCACTTCAGAAAGGAGCTACGGTAGAGAATGTGCGAGAGGGGTCTGCCCACGCCCCCAAGGCCCCAGTGGGTCCCGCTCGATTACAGACACACCCCGTGAGAACGGGCCATCCAGGCTGGACGGGGGACACTCAGGGGGACGCTGGCCAGTACCAAGGAGGCAGCGGCACCACGTCGAGCCTGTCCCGTCCGCTCCCTCCTGAAGCCTGCGCATCACTTCTCTCCATCCCAGCACCAAGCCCCCTCGGACTGAGCCCGGGACAGGCCAAAGACCACAGTGTCCCCCCTCAGAGGAAGGTTCTGGAATGGCAGGAGAGGAGAGGACAGAGCAGGTGCTCAGGCCACCCCACCTGGTGACAGGGGAGGAGCACCTGCCGGTGACCAGGCCTGGCCTCACCGACCTGAGAACACAGCTCCAGAAATCGCCACCCCCACGCAGGCAGCTCGGGGGGGCCCCTGTCCCTCCTAGTGGCCAGGAGGGCCTCCTGGCCAGTGTGTGGAGCACAGGACAGAGGCACTCCGGCACCTCGTGGGAGACAACCAGGGCTAACAGCAGGCCAACGTCCCCCCAGTGGGGCCCCAGCTTCGCTGAGCTGCCCACATGAGGGGGCCCGTCTAGACAAAGAGCAGCCTGCGGCCCCTTCCCGGGTGGCATCGGCCCCCCCCCCCGCCCCAGGTCAGGGAGCATCTGCACACCGGGATGGGTCACAGACACACAGTCCATGTGGGGACACCGGAACAGCTTTCACTTGTAATGTCGCTTCTCTCTTTTCTACAGCGTGCACATCCTGCTTTTTCAACTATGAAATGTTGTTTTTTACAAAAGTAATTTCAGCAGGAGGCTGGTCCCTAACTTCCAAGTTTCCGCCAGCGGCGCGCTGCACTGCAAGGAGGGGCCCCGTGGCCATTCAGTGTGGACGACTCGGCATCCACCCAGGCACTGGCTCAGCTGCCGTGGAGCCAGGAGCTCAGACAGGAGCCCAGAGCTATCGCGGAGCACAGGCCAGTAGAGCGCCTGCCCTGCCAGCGCCGCACGCAAGCGCTCCCAGGGTCCGGACCCTGGCCCAGACCAAGACCTGGGGCCTTGGCCCACCTGAGGCCTCCCGCACCCGTGACCCGGGCGCCAGCAGCACAACACAGCTGTCGTGTCACAGCTCCGAGGGCATGTGGGCCACGGCAGGGTACAGGCCCCACCTGTCATGCTGCCGCTGGCCAGTGCCAGGGTAGACTCAGGCGGGCCAGTGTTCACTCGTGTCTGCCCTCAGAAGAATGAAGGGGGACCACCAGGGTGGGCCAGGCAGCTACTCTGCGGGACTGAGGGCCCAAGGTCCCACCTGTCAGTGGGAGGAGGACCACACCCCACTCTATAGCCGGGCCACTGGGGTGCCACAGAGGGGGGATGGTAACACCTGGAGCAGAGGCCCAGGCTGAGGCTCCGAGAGGGAAGCACCAAGAGAGGTCCTGGAGCTGGGCAGGGAGACCCCTTGTCCGTAGGGATGCTCCAGCCACTGGCAGGGGACACAGGGGGCTTCTGGGCCACTCCCATCGCCCACCCTGAGCCCAATATCCCGGCGGGCATGGGCACTTAGCAAACGTTCACCACACTACGTGGACTTCGCTTTTGCCCACAGACACCTCCTAAGGCCACCTGGCCTCCCCCGACACAAGAATTCAGCCACCCCAGACTTCCTGGTGGCGCAGTGGTTGGGAGTCCGCCTGCCGATGCAGGGGACGCGGGTTCGTGCCCTGGTCTGGGAAGATCCCACATGCCGCGGAGCGGCTGCCCCCGTGGGCCATGGCCGCTGGGCCTGCGCGTCCGGGGCCTGTGCTCCGCAGCGGGAGGGGCCGCAGCGGTGAGCGGCCCACGTACCACACACACAAAAAAGGAATTCAGCCACCCCTGCACTGGCACTGGTGGGACGGGCATGGGGCTCTCACTGCTCAGCCCAGCGCAGGGAAGTGGGGCAGCGGGCGGAGGGCGAGTGTTATGATGTGATTTCTTTTGTGTTATAATTCCTACTCATCCCGTGTGACACACATGTGAGCTGTGAAGACACATTAGATGGTTCAAAATGGAGCCACAGTGACCAATGTGAACCTCTGCATCAGCTGTTCTGAAACGTCCGCTGCAGGACCGCGAGTGTCTTAGTGATGAACTGAGAGCATTACCTTAGATGAGAAGTTTGATGGGGCACGTACGTCACTGAAACAGAGAAACAACTGATAGAGCCCAGACCCCCTTCCTGGGACAAACGCTGTTCCTTGAAGAGACCCCTGAGCCCAGCGACTGGAACGGACTCCACGCTGCCGAGAGCTGTTCCAGAGACGCTGCCCGAGGCCCTCCTGCTCAGCCGCGGGGACCTGCTGCCGGCTAAGATGCCGCCTCCTGCCCGAAGACTCCGGCAGTGGTCTGGCACCTCTCCTCTCTGACTACCTGTGTCCTGTGCTGTGTGCCATAAGCCGAGTGACCGTCCACCTCTACCCCCGCGACTCTGACCTGCCCTTCCTGCTGGGCCCTGCAACAAAACAGCACAAGAACTGGGGTGCAGGGCACGCTGTGGGACACTGGGGTCCCTGTGCACCCAGCTCCTCGGCACCTTGGGCCCATCCACACACGCCTCCTCACAAGGCCACGCTGCGGCCAAATCCCCTGCACTTCCCACCAGCCGAGAGCCCGTCCAGAGCTGGGAAGAAGGCGCTGGGAAACACCCCGTCCTGCAAGCAGGAGGAGCGGCCCGAGGGCCCCAACCCTTCGCTCTCCAAACCCAGCAGGCAGGCTCCTCCGTGTCCTTCCCTGCTTCCGTCTGTCCAAAAGAACAGGCTCAACGTAGGCAGAGCAAGGTGAGAAGAGCCCAGCAGTGGGGCCCTTCCTGTCCCCCAGCTGCCAGCAGGCCCAGAGCAGGGGCCCATGCCTTCCATCCTCTGGTCGAGCACACAGAGCTCAGGCCCCGCTAGTCAAGGTGGCCCTGGAGACAGTGGGCACCCCTCCCAGGGCCTCCCCCCACGGCCAGGAGGCAAGCGCCCGGGCAGCACGCGGGTGCTCAGAGCCTGCGGCCACAGAGGACGGCGGACGCCACGCACCACGGCCAAGACCAGGAAGGCATCCTCCAGCCCCCAGACCCGCAAATGCCGCTGCCCACCGGAGACCTCCAGGACTCCCCTCAGTGGCCTCAAGAGGCCAGGGAGGCCAAGGGGAGAGTGAACCACCCCTGGCCAAAGTGGGTCTCCACGGAGCAGCAGCTCCCTCCAGGCCTTGACCCTTCCTGTTCCTGTTACACTCGGCCCGGATGGACATGAGTAAAGCTTAGTAAAGCTCTAAGTGGATTATTCTGTCACAGCCCTGGGGTCACAGCCCTGGCATCACAGCCCTGGCGTCACAGACCTAACTTGAAAGGCGGGGCAAGTCCCTCAATGGGGAGCTGCATCAGAAGTCCCTAAAGACAGCCTCTGGGAAGCACTCGGTCCGCCTGCACCCCAAGGTCAGCCCTCCCAAACCTCCTCTCCTCCTCCAGGCAGGACCCGCTCCAGGTCTGGGCTCAGCCTGGAGACGCAGGGACGCAGCTCTGCTGCCCTCTGCTGAGCACCTGCCTCGGAGGAAACCGAGTTCCGGAGGAAACCACAGCGGCTGGCCAACGGGGGGAAGCTCAGGCCGCAGGGAAAGGGAAGGTCAGGGCAGAGCTCTCTGCCTGGGTGGGGGAGGGGGCGTCCCAGCAGCACAGCCCACAGGACATGAAGGCGGGTGACCCCAAGGCCAAGTCCCTCCACTGGGGCCTCGAGGCCTGCTCGTCCACTCACCACAGTCACCTCCCCAACCTCTTCCACCCAGAGCCCCCGCAGACGCGCTGCCACCGCCACGTCCTCCCTCCTGTCCTTCTGCTCCCGTGTCCCTAACCAAGCCCGTCCTCCACCCACTCACGTCCCCGTTTGAGTCCAGGGGCCAGGACTGCCCAGCCCAGGGTACAGGCGAAAGACTGGCAACAGCGCAGGTGCTTTTACCTGAGCACGGAGTGGGCTTGTTTCCCGCAGCACCACAGCACAGAGAACACAGAACTGGAGGGCGGTGCTCTGTGCGGGGCAGGATGCGGGAGCCCGGGGGCCACCCCGCCCTCCACCCGCCCTCCAGTCCGGATGCGGAGGAGCTGAGGCTGCGCCCTTGCAGGTGCAGATCCGTGGTCCGTGGGCCCGACCCTCAGGGCGAAGCTGAGTTCTGCTGCTGGTGGGGGGCGGGGAGGCCCATCACTGCAGAGCCCAGTGGTCCCCCCACAGGAAACTCAGAGCCCCTGCCTGGAATCAGAAGGAAAACCGGGGGGCAGACCTGGTCCCAAAGGCTCCCGGAGGAAGCTAAAGAGATGCCAACAGCAAGCCCCGCCCCCTGCCCCCCACCCCCCACCCCCGGGGTCAACCAGGCCCCACTGCGTCCAGGCTGCAGGGGAGGGTGTGAGCGCCTGTCTGCACTGGGAGGGGAGTCCAGCAGACATGCGTCCACGCCGGGGCAGGGAGCTGGGGGGACCCACAACCAGGCTCCTCTGGGACCACATGGACCACACAGGCACAGTGGCCAGGGACGCGGGGAGCAGTGCTATTTGCGCCTCAGCCCAGGGCAAGGACGTGCTCATCCAGGCAGACAGGCGCCCTCGCCGTCACGGCCCAGCAGGTCACTGAGCAGAGCTGAGTCACCGGATGCCACTTTCCACATGACCTGCCTCTGCCCCGGGCCACCGGTCCCAGCTCAAACCCGGGGGAGCCACAAGGCCCATAGCCCAAGAGATCCAGGGCACTGGCGAATCAGGAGGCAGGTCTGAGGAACCCCAAAACGCAAGAGCAGCTGGAGAGGGAGGCGTGGGTGTGGTGAAAGACACCTGCCACCGGGAACCAGGGCACCTCAGCCAGCAGAGGGCCTCGCTCAACGGGACACGTGGCCGATTACTCCTCCAGCACCACCGGGCACTTACGGAAGCCAGGCCCAGGTGCCGTTCCCCACTTTCCACATTTACTGAGTCATCTGAACCCCAAAGCAGGCGGCACTGAGGACGCAAGGACCAGTATCACCCCGTTACAGGTGAGCAGCCAGGGGCCAGAGAGCCAAGTGCCCCGACCAAGCCCCCAGCTGCGGCTCCGGAGCACACGCCCCACAACCACCATGGCCCACCCACTTCCTCCAGTCCCCGGGGACTCTGCCAGCGCAAGGCTGCAGAGCTCACAGCAGCCAGCGCTCTGCGCCCCAGAGCCCGGGCCCTCTCCTTCTGTAAATTTTCTTTAATTTTCTGTATATTATGACACTCTGACATCCTTAATAAAAACAAAACAAAACACCTTTCTGGCTGGAGAGAGACTGCTTTCTGCGGGCTTTGATGAGCCTTTTCCTGAGCTGCTCTCTCTCCTGGTCACAGCCCATAGACCACCTCAGAAAACGAAATAAACCCTTCCTTCCTCCTCTCCCTGTCCCCCCTCCACACCACCCAGATTTTAAGTGCCCCCTCTGATGGGAAGTGACATCTGCTCTTTCTGGTTGGCCATGCTCTCTGGGCAGCCAATGCTGTGGGAGGTGGCCTGGAATTTTATAAAACCCCTCAGATTTAGTACTAAGGCTCGGGGTAACTGAGGTCTGCCTGCCGCACACTGAGACAGTCCCACAGATCAGGACCGCAAGGGCTGATCAGGAGATCTGGATGACAGCCCATCACAGCTCAGGACCGAGAGGAGATGGGGGCTTCTATGCTCCTGCAGCCGCGAGGCAGGACCCACTAGGCCCTGGGCCAGTGTCCTGAACCTGGCAGCATCGGAGACCCCTGGAGGGGGTGTGAAAACAAGGTTCCGCAGGTCTGGGATGGGACCCCAGGGATGCTGGTGCTAGCCAGAAAAGCCATCAAAACTGCCCGGTACACAAACCGTAAGAGGACCAATGAACACACAGAAAGTTGTTTGATCACGTGGGTCACCAAAGGGACCTGAGAGGCCATGGCTCCGGCGCCCCCAGGCACACCCTGCCCACCCAAACGAAGGCAAGTCCCTGCGGCACCCGCCATGGGAAAGCACTCAGGCAGGTCACGCAGCCAGAGCGGCAATGTGCTCTGCGGAATCAGCCCAAGAAACAGCAGGAGAGCCTGAGGGCCGGGAATATGGCTCCCACACACACACCACTTTGGATGTCAGCATTACTTTGGGCTGGAGGCAAACAGAATCAGCAGGTGCAGAAAGAAGCCATCCAGAACTTCCCTATCTGACTAAAAACCGAAAATTCTGAAATGAGGACCACCATGCATCCCCTCTTCCGAGGAATTCTCATGGCCATGAGGACACCAGAGCCGGCACCACATGGACCTCCGTGAACCTTCCTCTATGTATTCACCACCCCCCCGAAGTTTGCCCTCGGAAGCCCACAGCATCACTGCTCTTCGCTAAGATGCTACAGAGGCCCAAGTTCTCACCACCACTTTGAGTTACTCATCACTGAGGTTCCTCCCATGTGATGTGACCTGCACACAGGAGTAGTTTGTTTTTCTCTTGTTAATCTCTCTTTGTTAGTCTAACTTGCAGGGTCCTAGCCAAGAACCTAGGAGGGTACAGGGGAGAAGGCTTCCCTCCCTACAGCTTCAACATACAAGGAATGGCAAGGAGATTCCGATAACCTCCCCAGTGAAATAAAAAAAAATCCAAAGCAGTGATGCAAACAACATGACCTCATGGGAGATGCCTGATGTAAGCCGTACGTGTGAGATAACTACAGCTTACAACCGCAACAGCTGTTTACAAACTGTAGATGGAAACCCTAGAAACCCTGCCCCGGAGGCCAGGGTGCTCCCCACAGGGATACAGACGCTTCTATTCTCAATGGCTCATCTGTAAATGTGCAGCTCACGTATGCAGCATGAAGCTTCTCTCCAGGAAGTGGTGGCGGTGTGGCCACCCAGGGCAGGAGAGCCGCTCCTCTCCTCCAGGAGCAGCCCAGACAGGACGCTGGAGCTAGGAACACCACAAAGCCCCAAGTGGGGGAGGTGCAGGAGGAAAAGAGACCTCCCCCACGTGATAAGCACGTGAAGGAGAAGGGGAGCGGGGGCTGCAACGCACCCTTGTTCCCACCTGGTTCTGACTGAGGCAAGCACGAAGATGGGAGATTCTTTTACTTCGTTTATCTGAAATAAGGAATTACCACTGATCTGTTTAGGTGTGGTAATGGCCTTGTAGGTGTGTTTATGTCTTTTTTTCTAAGAGCTCTTAAAAATACTTACTAAAGAATTCTTGAGGGAAATGCTGTTTGTTTCAAAATAACCCAGTACTGCGTGTGTGAAAACAGAGGATGGGCACGTGGACTGTCTTATGCCATCTTCTGCTTAGTACATCCTTAAAATTTTCCACCAATAAAACAAATCTCTTCGAAGTGCACAGGCGCACCTGTAGTCTGCTCTGACCCGTGCCCGCGAGCACGTGGAAGCGGGCCTGGCGCCCACCCCTGAGGTCCGTCCTGCCTGCTCTCACCTCTCCTGACGGAGGCGCTGCTCCTCGCGTCCACGTCCAGCTTCTGCACCAAGGCGCTGGGGTCTATCGTGGTCCCGGCAAACACACTGGCATTCATGAAGGCCCACTCCTGAAATGGAAACAGAGGAGACCTAAGACCTGCTTCAGAGTGGCTTCAGAGACCCCTCGGCGAGGGCCGGACCCCGGCTTTTCCAGAGCGGGAGCTGGAGAGGAGCCCGAGGCCACCCCAGCTCAGACCCCAGAGCTCTCAAGCCACATCCTTTCTGCAGCCTCAGTTCACCACCCAGGCCTGGATCCTGGTTGCGGGACCTTTTGAGACCAGATGCAGGATCAATAATGATTATGAATTACACCCTCAACACTCAGGAGCCCTTGTGAGAGGAATCAGGCTTCCCCCCAAACCTCCCACCTTCCTACTGTCCCTCCCGTTTCACAGCCACTGTTCCATCTCAGCAGTCTCACTGTCTCCCAGCCCCATTCATCCCACATCAAGATTTCAGAATCCTCCAGGTCACCCTGCCCATCACGCTGTGCTAACCCAGGCCCCGCCTCCCAGGCCTGGCCAGCCCATTCGGGTCCAAGCTCCAGGACAGCGGCCTTGGAAGGGGCATCAATAACACGCGGGCTTGGGCACAACCTCTGAGCAGACGCTGGCCGGGCAGCAAGCCGCCCTGGCCCAGGGGCAGCTTCCAGGAAGCGGCACCATGGCAGGCTGGAGGCGGTGTGAGCTGAAGGCTGCACTGGCTCAGGAGTGGCCAGACAGAATGGCAAAGCCACTAGTCCCTGTGAAGGCGGGTCAAAACGTCAGCTCCCTGAACTATGAGAGCAGCCTCCCAGCCACACACATGTATCCAGCGGTAAAGGGCAGAGATCTCTGTGGCCACGGGGGCTTAAGCACAGTCGGACCAGTAAGAGGCTTGTGCTGACCCAGGCTGCCAGGCTGAAAGATAAAGACAAGAAGAAACAGGAGCAGGGAGATGGGAGGCCGCGCACTGGCAGAGAGCGGACCCTGAGTCACACGGCAGCCCGGAGCCAGGCCAGTGAGCAAGTAACTACCAGGTACACAGCACCAAGCCCCCGCAGCGCCACCACGCACTGCCTAAGACATCCGGTTTTCAACAACAGAGCGGGGCCTGTGCAAAGAAACTGGGGAGCAAGACCTAGGCAACAGAAGCTACTTCTGAGGGGCCCACGTGTTGGACTTGGCAACAGCCTCAGAGCGGCCACTGTAAATATGCTCAGGACTAAAAGAGACCCTGTCTAAAGAACTACAGGAAAGTATGATGACAACATCTCATCAAACAGAGAACATCAGTAAAGAGACAGAAATCATTCAAAAATAGAAGTCTTAAATATGCTACAAGGATATACTGCACAACACAGGAAATATAGCCAATGTTTTATAGTAACTATAAATGGAATATAACCTTTAAAAATTGTGAATCACTATGTTGTACACCTGTAACTTATATAACATTGTACATCAACTATACCTCAATTTTTTAAAAACAGAAAAAAATAAATAAAATTACAGCAATCAATTCAGTGTGGCATTGGCATAAGGATATACAAACAGATCAACAGAACATATTAGAGTCCATAAATAGACCCACACATATATGGTCAATTGATTTTTGACAAAAGTTCCAAGATAATTTAATGGAGAACTCCAATAAATTATGTGGAAACAAAATGATATTTATATGGGGAAAAAATGATTCTCAACTCCTACTGCATACCATAACAATATATATATATGTTTTTATAATATATTTTTTAATAATATATATATAAGTAAATAAAATTCTGGAGTAAAAAAGTACATTAATCAAAATGAAGAATTTCACTACAGAGATTCAAAAGTAAATCTAAGCTGGCAGAGGAAAACAATCAGTGAATATGAAGAAAGATCAACAGAAATTGTACCATATGAAAAAAAGACGGAAAAAGAACAGAGCTTCACAGAAAAAAATGAATAGAAATAACCTTACACAACAGCCTTGCAGAAGAACAAATATAGCCTCAGAGCACCATTCAGCGTGCCAACCTATGTACATGTAACAGAAGCACCAGAAGAAGAGAGACAGAACAGGGCAGAAAAAGTATTCGAAGAAATTATGTCTGAACACTTGCCAAAGCTGATGGAAAACGCTAACCTATACATCCAAACTCAATGAACTTCAAGTAGGATAAACAAACTCCAAACAGAACAAGCACAGAGATCTACACCAAGACACATCATAGTCAAAAAGTTTAAGGGCAAAGAGAAAATCTTGAAAGCAGCAAAAAATGACTCATCACATACAAGGGAACCCCAATAAGATTAACAGCTGACTTCTCATGAGAAGCAATGGAGGCCAGAAGGCAGTGGGATAACATAAAAGTGGTGAAAGACTATAGTCAACCAAGAATTTTATATCCAGCGAAACTATCCTTCAAAGATGAAGGTAAAATAAAGACAGTCCCAGATAAACTAAAGCTGAGAGAATCTCTTGCTAGTAGACCTGCCTTATAAGAAATACTAATAAAGTTTTTTAGGCTGAAAGCAAATGATACCAGCTTGCATACATAACAATAACAGCACAACAAGGGGATAAGAGGGAATAGAGTTAAACAGTAGTGAAGATTCCGTCTTTCACTTGAATTAAGATGTAAATACTGATGTACATCGTGGGCCCTATGTCAACCAGCAAAGGACATCCACTGACAAAAAGTCTCTCCATGACCAAACTCTGCTCAGACTCCCCTGAGCTTTTCAACTAAACCTTGACTTTTCACAACACCAAAAGCACAAGCAACAAGAGAAAACAAGATAAACTGGACCTCATCAAAATTAAAAACTTTGTGCTTCCAAGGACAATATCAAGAAAGTAAAAAGACAACCCATAGAAGTGAAAAAAACATTTGCAAACCATATATATCTGATAAGGGTTTACTATCTAGAATATATAAAGAACTCTGACAATTCAACAAAAGGACAATCAACATAATTTTTAAATGGGCAAAGGACTTGAATAGACATTTCTCCAAAGATATACAGTCAACAAGCCCATGAAAAAAATCCTCAACATTATTCATTAGCCCTTTGGGAAATGCAAATCAAAACAATGAAATATCACCTCACATCCAGCAGGATGGCTATAATCAAAAAGACAGACGATAACAAGTGTTGGTGAGGATGTGGAGAAATTGGAACCCTCATTTATTGCTGGTGGGACTCTAAGATGGTGCAGCCATTGTGGAAAGTAATCTGGCAATTCCTCAAAAAGTTCAACATAGAGTTCCATACATCCTAGCAATTCCACTCCATGCATCCACAGAAAACTCTGTACACAGCAGTATTATCATGACAGCCAAAAATCTGAAACAACCTAACTATCCAACTTATGAATGGATAAATAAAATGTGACACGGTCTGGTATACCCACACGATGGAATATTTTTCAGCCATGAAAACAATAAAGACAACAAAGAAAGGGATGCTACAAAAATAGTACTATAAGGATGAACTGCAAAAGCATGCCCAGTGAAAGAACCCTGACACAAAAGGCCACATATCGTATAATTCCATTTGTATGAAACATCCAGAAGAGGCATATATATACAGAAAGCAGATTCATAGTTGCCAGAACGACTGATAATAAGTATGGGGTTTCCTTTTAGGGTGATGAAAATTTTCTGAAATCTGTAGTGATGGTTGTGCAAATCTGTGAATATACTAAAAAAAAAAATCCCATTAAATTGTACACTTTAAATGGGTGAGTTTTATGACATGAATTCTACCCCAATAAAGTTTTTATGAAAACCAGGGCACTGATGCCAGATCCTGGGTTCAAACAGCTCCTCCATCAGCAGCTGAACGTCCTTGGTAATTTATTTAAACTCTCAGCTTTTTCCTCATTTCAGCAAAATGAGGGTTGGGGCTGTTATGAAGAAGTAAAGTGCCTGGCTCACAGCAAGTGCTTAACAAACATGGCTGCTCTCTTTAGCATTACTGATCCAAAGCCACAGTCCCCACAAACCAGCAAGATTTTGTCCACTGTCCGGGTGCTAGCCCCTTGGTTACAAACACCAGTAAATGCTTCCAGGAAGCTCCAGGGTCAGCACCTGGATAAACAAAACATGGTCTAACCAAACAGTGGAACACTGTTCCACCACAAAAAGGAATGAAGCACTGATATACATCATACAACCTGCATGAGCGCTGAAAACGCTATGCTAAGTCCAAGAAGCCAAACGCAAAGGCCACGACTCCATCCATAGGAAATGTACCGAACAGAGGCAGAAAGATCAGTGGTTGCTTAGGGCTAGGTAAGATGGGGGGACGGGGGGGACTGCTACAGGGTACAGGGTCTCTTCAGTTTGCTCTTCGTTTTTTTCGTTAATCCTGGGAATTCCCTTTCCTTTCCTCGGAGCACAGCTACGATGCACAGGAATTTTTGCCATTTTCGCGCAGCATTTCTACACGTGGGGATGGGAGGTTTCTGGTCCTCCCTCGCAGAACTCCAAACGCGGAGCAAGTCAACGCCTCCCAGGCCGTCGCGCACTTGAGCAGCCGAGCCTCGGGGCCCACGGAGGCCACGACACTTCGCGGACCAGGAAGGCCCGCTGGCCGCGCGGTAAACTCCGCCGAGTCCCAGGGCGGTCCTGGGGTCGCGGGGACCCTTCAGGGGCGACAGAGGGGTGCCCACAAAGCACGCGGGGCTGGAGCCGGCCCGGGACCCCCGAGGCCGCAAAGTGTGGAGCCCCGACCCCGGCCCGCGGCCCCCTTCCCCCACCCGCAGCCCTTCCCCACTCCCACGGCCCGCAGTGTCCCCAGCTTACCTTCCCCCCGACTCCACCAGCCGAGGCCTGCAGAGAGGCCGCCTCCCGGGCGGGGGGCGTGGGGCCGGGCGCGGCCTCCCCCGTGGGCCTCACGGCAGCCTTGTGCACCCGGGACCGCAGGCCCCTCACTTTCCCCATGTCCGCGGCGGAGACCCACAACCGGCCGGAAGCCGAAGAGCACACGCGGCACAGGCTGCCGGAAGCTGGTCCTTCGCTCTGGCGGCCCGGTGGAAACAAGAACCGCTGTGGCTGGAGTCCGCCATCCTGCCCGCGCCGGCCGCGAAGCGCCAGAGAGGAGTATGGCGGGGCCGCAGAGGGGCGGGGCTGCGGTGTGGGGGCGGGGTCGCGCTCCTCGTCCCGCCTTTGGCTCCGCCCCGCCTCCCGGGGCAGGTGTGGCTAATTGCTGGAATCACGCAGCCTCCCTGTGATCTGGAGAATGATGGTTACAGCGCTGGAGGGGATCAAGTTTGTTGAAATACACGAGTGTGTTTGCTTGTGCCTGTCAAAAACGCCCTGCGGGGAGGAAGAGAATCGGAGGACTGGGGAACCCCTAAAGGAAACCCCATACTTATTAAAACACCTCAGAGGCATCAGGCCAGGATTTATAGGGGCGACTTCACAGAACGGATCTGGGCTGGAGCCAGAGAGAAATGTCCCTGGAAGAAACCCCAGAAGCCAGCTCTCAGACTCGGCACCCCGACTCTGTCAGTGGCCCTGCTATCACCACTGCCTGCCCAGGGCCAGGTTGGGTGTCTGACCAGCGCCTGCCAGACCAGCTTCCTTTGGCTAGAGCCTGTTTCCTGGCTGTGACCCAGGCTAGTGGAACTTCTGGGGAGGCTTTCTGGAGCATGGAGAAGGCCAAGCCCACCACCCACTCGTGTCCCCGCTCATCTGGTGGCACCTACAACTTCCTGAAGGGGTGTCACGAGTCATTCTCTGGTTCCGCCAGACCTAAGGAGAACACAGAGGTAATGACTGCCGGGTACACGTGCTGCCAGGGTGCATGCAGCCCAAGGCCTGCAGGGCGGCCTCCATTTCAGGGTTTGCTTTTTGCATTTTCTGTACAGCCCATGCTTTCTCAATAGGAAAAGGAAAAGAACGTCCAACTGCTGCAAGATGGATCTGTTATGAGTTTTTTAAATCCTGGGGCCCGTTCCCTCTCTTTCCCTTCATCCCTCTGCGCGGCCAGGCCACACCCTGCTCCCCTGACACTTTCATGTACAACCCCGACCTCCCTCTGGGTCTCCCCCTGAAATTGAGGGAATCTTAAAGTGGAATTCTTGGTTCCCATCCCAACCTGCCCCCACTACCCGGGCAGTATATTCCCCTTCAGAAGAAATGGCACGGGCACTCACACAGCCGCCCAAGCCCCAAACCGAGGCGTCACCTTGGCTAGCGTCCCCTCTCCCTGTCACATCCAACCCAAGAGCCCCTTTATCACTCCCTCCAAACTCCAGTCCCACCTGGGCTCCTGCCCTGGCCTCCTCACTGGAGGCCCTTACCTCCCCAGAGGGGCCACGGCCATGATCGCCCTGGAAAGGCTACCCCTGGCTTTGGCCTTCAGGGGAGGACCCCTCCCTCAGCCTCTCTGTCCTTCCCAGCGCTCAGTCGTGTCTCCTCTGTCCCATGTGCCGTCCGCCTCCCTGCGGGACCTCGCGGCCTTGGTGGTCTCTGGACAGGCCACGCCCCCCGTGCTGGAGGCGCGAGTTAATTCTTCTGTCGTGGGAGGGCGCCCGCGGCCCGCGTGGGTTTCTCTGGAGGAGCTGGGGCGCCGCGGGCGCAGGCGCGGGCGTGCTGGGGATGCCAGCGCGGGCCCTTCCCCGGACCCTGAGCGCCTTCAGCCTCCGCAGGGCGCGGACCTCCTTGCGGGTCCGGTGGTCCCAGGAAGTCGTGGAAGGATGGCTTCCGGGAGAGCCTCGGGGTAAACACCCGTCCGCCCATCCCAGTCCACCCGGCCCTTCGGGACCCTCCGCAAGGACTTCCGGATGACGACCCCGCTCTCTGCTCTCGGGTTTCCCAAGCCCCACCAGGCTGCGCGTTAGAGCGCACGGCACCTGCGAACAGCGGGGCTGCAGACCGCCGGTTCTGACCCGCTGCTCCTCCCAGCGCCCGCGGCTCCTTGCGGCGTGGGCGCCGCCCTGGCCAGTGACCGGGCTGGGACGTGGAGCCCCAGGGCCCACTGCATCCCAGCCCTGACTAACCCTGGGCCAATGCCCTGACCCCACGCATCTCCATGTGCCCACTGTCAGGACTTCCTTCCTGAGGTGGTCCTGGGGCTGCACCAGCCTCCCGCGTACAGCGCCCAGCCCGGTGAACCTGGCCCCGGATAAGCCTTCCTTAGCCCTCCTCAGCCCCAGGAAGGCGTCCTATCGGCCCCCTCCCTGGCCACACTCCTCTCCCCTCAGCCCCTGCCGGACCTGAGTCTAGGTCTCGGGAGCCCCCGGGGCCTCTCCCCGGAGAGGAGGCCCGGTTCACGCGCCCCCAGCGAGCTGGCCAGGCTTGGAGATGACTTGGGCAAGGTAGGAGCCTCAGTTTCCCCATCTCTACACTGGGTTGCCGCAGGGGTTCTTTGAGGGCTGTCAGGTAAAGCACCAGGAAGCCCCTGCGGGCAGCCGGTGCTCAGATTCCAGTGGCAGCAAGTCGGTAGGGAAGCAAACCCGGCAGTCTGGCGGCTCAGGGGCGGGCCGTCGGGGTGTCAGCGTCAGCACCAGGCAGGGTGCCCCGCGGCAGGCGGAGGTTCGGCGCGCGGGCCTTGGGGCGTGTGAGCCGGGCAGGGGCAAAGAAAAGTCCTCAATGTGAGGACCTTCCTGCCCCGCCCTGCTGCCCCGGGACGATGGGGGTGGAGGGGGCTCCCCACCCTCTGCGCTTCTGCGGGCGTGCCCCGAGGACCCCTAAGGAAGCGGCTCCGGGAAGGAGGCGCCAGACTCCAGGGCGTGCGGCTGGGACCTGCCCCAGCCTCGCGGTCGAGTGGACTCCGTCCACCGGCTACGGATTGGGAGAATGAGGCCGGCGTTGGGGTTAAAAATGATCGGTTTGGGTCTCTGCGGGGCCGTTTGTTGTCTGAGCAGCCCCCAAACAGGAGGAATTTCTGGGAATCGGGCACGCGTGCCTCCCGCTTGGCTCTGGGACAGCGCGGCCCGGGCCCAACCCGTGCGCCTCTGCGCGCGGCGACCACGGGGTTAGCGGGTCCCGCCCGTCTGCGCCCAGCAATGCGACAGGAAGGTCTGGTGCAAACTATTTGGGGTTGTGCAGTTGCCGTACTGGGAAACTCTTGGGGTAAAATAATGCGTCCTCAGTGTGGTCGCGGGGGAGGGGGGGTGATCGGGAGGAAGTGGTGAGGGAGGGGCGAGAGGATGAGGCTGGGCAGGAGGTTACCCGGGTCGCGATTTCCACTTGACTCCGCGGGCTAAGAGACGCGGTGGCCCTGGCCCGTGGCACTCCGGGGAGCCCCGCAGCCTGGCGCCCTCCTTCCAGCTCTGTTCCTTTTCCTCCTTTTAGCCCTCCCCCATCTAGAGAGAGAGCCAGCTGATGGGGGTGGGTCCGTAGGTTTTTGGTTTGTGGTCTCATTAACTTGATTTACAGTAACACCCTTTTCTGATTACAAAATTAATACGTGGCTATCACAGACAATTTGGAAAATATAGAAATCTAGTTCTGAAGTTAAAATCCCTTCAATCCTGTTGCCCAGAGATGTCCCCGCAGTGCACAGTGTCCACACCCCTCGAGCCTCTCTTTCCCTCCCTGGGTGGTGCAGCCTTTGTAACTAGGAAGTTTGATCGTTGCTAAAATGCGGAAAGGATTAGGTCTCCCTGACACCCACGCAGCACACAGTCCAGGGTCAGCCAGCTTGCAGCTCAGCTCTGACAGCTCGGCCCCACCTCCTACCCATGTGACCTTCAGTGGGTTGCTCCCTGCTGGACGGTGCCACGCCCAGATTAGGGCAATGTTCCTCCCCAGCTCCACCTCGGCTTCACCCCAAGCTTAGCCAGCCTCTGGGTGCCCTGCTCTCCACTCCTGACCCCCTGCCCTGCCCCCGCTTCGGCAGCCTTGCTGGGCTGGCCTGGCACTTGGCCCTGACCCCTGCCCCACCTCCGTGTTCCCAGGTTCTGCTGAGAGCTTCCTGTACTTCATCTCAGCATCCTGAGAGGCAGACCCCCACCCTCACTTTACAGGTAGAAGAAGGCGCCTTCCAGGAACCGGCCTAAGGCCTTGCAGCCACCTGCCCGGCTTGTGCTTGGCCTGTACGCCAGCTCTCCCGAGCTCAGCCACTGCCCACCTGCCCTCCTCCTTTGTGTGCCAGCAGCAAGGCTGACCCATGGGGCCCCGTGCCGGAGACGAGCTGCTAGTTCTTGGAGAAAGACAACATGACCTAAGTGGGAGAAGGAAGACAGAAGACCATCCCCCCCACCACAGGGGCTTCCCCGGTGAAGGAGGGCGAGACCTTTCTGGAGAGGCCCCTCCGGGCCGAGAGGCTGCCTCTGGGCTGGGACCCAGAACCAGACAGGAGGGAGGAAGAAGGGGGAGGAGAGCAGGTGTGCAGAGGGGGGGCCCCTGGCCCCAGCCGGGATGCCTGCAAGAGTGCCGGGGGCCCAGGTGGGTCAGGCACTGCAACGCCCGCCCTCGGGGGTTCAGTGGGGACTGGGGAGCCAGTGAGGTGCTTCAGCAGTCGAGGAGTCTTGAAATGACAGGAAAGGCCGAGAGAGAAAGTTTCCAAGACAGAAATGACCTTTGGGATCTGCTTCAGCGCTGGGTGGTCTTGGGCTCTGTTCCAGCCTCTGACGTCCTCCTCTCCTTCCTCCCCAGTGCCTAGTGCCTTCCCGTGCAGGCCAGTGTGGCGTGGGACGCAGGGTCCCATCTGGGCTTGTCCCCCCACTGATGACCTGCCACCAGAGTGTGTTAAACAGACACCGGGGCCCACCCTGAGCTCCGGTCCAGCGGGCTGGACGTGGACCAGTGGATCTGCGCTCCCTCCTCCCGCCCCCATCGCCACTGCCCTCACTCCTAGAGAGCCCCAACCCACAGGCTGGCCCTCCATCTGCGTTTAAATGCGATTGCTTATCGAAGGCAGGATGGGCTGCGGCTGCCACAGCACAGGCCACTCAGCAGCCAAGCTGAAGACAGGTGCCATCTGCTCTTCTCAGGAAAGCTTGCCTCTCCCCGTCCCCAGCAGAGCCATCGCACTTCCTCTGTGCCAGGCGCTGCTCTGTGTCCGTGTGGCTCATAACCCCACACCTGGTGACAGAGCGCCGTGGTCGTCATTCTCATTGGTGGACGAGGGGACTGGCTGCAAGTCTGAGGCCACACACCCAGGCCTTTGCCCTTCACCTCTGCATGACTGATGTGCCACCTTGCGTGTAAAGTGCCACCCTGGGGCCAGAGGAAGGGACAGCTCCTTACCAGTTAGGGACACAGCAGGGATGAGGGGTCCAGGGGCCAACAGCGTTTAGGTGGGACCTTTCAGGGTGGGAAATGTGTGGGTGGGCAAGAAGGGCTTCAGGGCCAAGCGTGCGGGTAGGACAACACAGGCAAACTCAGGGATGAGGCAGGTAATTAGGTTTCGCTAAAGCTTGCGGTCCCCGGTGCGGGAGGATCACAAAAGCACGTGGGCTTTTGTGGACCTCCCCAGGGATCCTGTCAGGGGGGCGGGTGAGAAGGAGTTTCTCAGACATTCCTCTGAAATCTCACCCTGCCTAAAACCCGCCATCTCCTGGGGTGGGCGGGGCCCTTGCTCCCACCCCCCACCCCCCAGGAAGGGCTCAGATGCCATGCTTTCCTCTGCATCCTTCTTACTTCATGCTCTCAACTTGCGGAAGCCAGGCTGGAATTGGCACCGCATTGCTGGGAGGGAACGGGGAGAGAATCCAATTCCTATTACGTGGAAAGAGACCAATGCAGAAAAGATAGATTGTTCCCCCAGGTTGAAAAGTTAGAAGGTAGAAGCAGAAAACTTAAAGGGAAGAATTTCTCTGTAAATCCAGATATAGACCCTCCCCTACAAAAAAAAAAAGTCTGTCATTTTATCAAAAGCTCCATGAGCGCTGGGACCACATCTCATTTTTCTTTGTATGATTTACATCTTTGCACATATTGGGCACCTGCTGTGTGCCAGGCCCATTGCAGGATCCTTTCACGTGTCCTCATTTATCCTCCCAACTGGGCAGGGGAGCAGATTGTGGGAAACTAAGGCCCAGAGGAAAAACAAGACCAAGGGTCCTGAGTTGCCACCATTACTAGTGGGCCCAGCTGTTAGACCCCAAGTGCAAGTGCTGTCTCTAGCCTCAGACTCCACTCCCCCAGCCAGGCCCCTGGGGCATGAGGAGCTTAGACAGAGCCTCTGGGAACTGGGCCACTCAATCCGGGGTTGGAAGGTGCCAACTTGCTTTGACAAAGGCAGCCTAGACTTCCTGTGGATGTGCGTCCTCAAGTGGCATTGGTGCAAAACACAAATTGAACAGGAAATAGCAATATGACAAGTACCAGGAAGGAGAGGAATGACCCTGGGGACTGGGTTAGGATTAGATGTCCACCACCCACCCCCGTGCCCCCCACCCCCCCCACCCCACCCCACCACGGGTGCCCCACAGATCAGCCTGGGCTTTGTGGTGAAGGGAGGGGTCTGGAAAGGCGTTTCTTCCTGTTCCAGTAGAGGGAGGTGTTAGCTCCTCACACCCCCGCCCCGGCCGTCACCTCTCGGTAGAGCTGTTATCACAGTTTTATTTTTAGCCTGGGCTCAGTGCTTTCCTTATTCTCACTGTGTAAACGTGTTCTGCTGAGCCAAGTGGACACTGTAATTACCGTTTCTTCTTGGTACAACTTTCTGGTTTTCCTCCAGAGTTGGTCATCGCTTAACATTTTTGCTGGCTCTGACTCCTTTAAACTAAGAGCCCAGTCTTCCTCCCTCTGACAGGGGCTCTGCTCAGTGTGACCGTCCACACTGTCAAGCGTATCAGTCCATCTCTGTGCTCTGATGAGAGTCGGGCAACCCCTGCCCAGGCCGCGGCCCCCACCCCGGCCTCCCTGGTGTGCTCAGACACCTTCCTTCCAGGTATGTCAGGGAAATAGGAATGCCACCTCTTCAGCTCCCTCCCACAAACAGCGAAAGCCCCCAGGAGGAGGGCTAAGGAGTAAAGGCCCTCTGCTTGACAGTGAGAAGTGAGGCTGGGTGTGCTGTGGCCAGTGTTCAGGACAGCAGGTAGCTAGAAACCGCCCCCAGCCTCTCAAATCTCTTCTCTCCTTTCCGTGCTCACTTGGCTACCCTCCTGCACGTATGTGGCCTGGATTAGAGCAAGGCCCTCCACTGCCCTGGCTGGGTGGCTTTCTGCCTGTTGGTGTAGGTTTGTGGGGGGCCAGATGAGCAAGAGCTACTTGAGCCCTTGCCACTGGCGAGCACTACTTCCTGCTCTGGTCCCCCAGCCCCCTGGCATGTGCTTGCCACCCCCTCTGCAGCTGCCTCTGCCAGCACCTCCCCCTTCCCCGGTCTCCCCACCCCAACCCCCACCCCCCACCCCTTCTCCCATCCCTGCCTCCCCACCCCGCTGCCATCTCCACCCCTACCCCACCCCCACCCCGTCTCCCATCCCTGCCTCCCCACACCGCCGCCACCACCCCCCCACCTCCCACCCCCGCCGCCACCACCCCCCCACCTCCCACCCCCGCCTCCCCACAAAAGAGCAACAGCTGAATCAACATTGCAGGAGGAAGCTACTGGCAGGAAGAAATTAAAAAGAGAATTTCTCTTTTTAAGATGGGGGAAGGGTCTGGAGAAGACAAGGGCTGGGTTGGAGGGGGAATTTGCAGGTCAGGTGGGAGGGCGGTTGGCAGAGGGAGGTGAGATGGTGGAGGCGTGCCAGCCAGGAGCTGGGGGCTGGGAAGGAGCTGCTGGCAGCCTTGCTGCTCCCGTGAACGCCCGCACGTCACGTGGGGCGAGTTCTCAAAGGACTGCGTTCTGCCTTTTGGGTGCTGGGTGCTGGGTTGGTCTTTCTCCGGCTCTCGTGCCTCATCTGTCCCACAGACACAGCATCGTGGGCCTCATGTCTGACTGCAGCCTCCTCCCAGTGTCGGCAACAAAACTGCACCGACCCGGGAACCTCTATATGGTGAGCTTGGAACCCCTTCGCATGTTCTCCATCATTAAATATTTCTTAATCTTCACACTGTTGCAAAGGAGCCCCCTTCTTGTGCTCTCGGGGCTGTGTGTTGTGGGGACATGGCTGGGCGGGAAGGGGGCTGGGGGTGCCCAGGTCAATGTACACGATGACAAGGGGATGGCATCTCTTCCTCTTTTCTACACTCACCTGGCTGCCTCCTGCCCACCCCAGCCCCCAGGCCTGGCACACTTGGGTATCCCTCCTCATCCTGCTTTATATCACCATGACATGCTTGCCTCCTGAGCCAGGCCATGATGTTCCGGAGGGCATGGCCGTGCACCCTCTGGGCGTACAGCTCAGTGTCCCGCCCAGGCCCTGGAGTCCTCAATGAACACCTGGTGAAATAAAGTCAATTTTCTGGAAGGTGGAGGTGAAAGTGATTGGAGGTGGAATTTCTCGGCTGACTTAGGGGAGAAGATTATTCCCAGAATGCTGCTCCAAAAGCTCACTCATCCCTGGCTTGTTTTCTTCGAGATGCAAAGCCCTGTCCCTCTCGGTCACTCGCCACAAAGGCCTGTGATGTCCTCTGTTTCACGTTTTCATTCCCAGAAGTCCGTGTCTGCCTTCTTGCCGCCGGCATTTCAACTACTTTGTGAATTCCCAAGAATGGATGCGCCAGGGTTTGCCGAGGCCATTTCCCTGGTACTAGTTGAGATTTAATGACATTTCATACAAATACTGCCCCATAAAGACACAGACACTTCAGAAGCCCTGGTGGGTATCGTTCCTGGTGGGTGCTGCTGAGCCGAATGGGGTGCACACTGTACACCTAAATGCAGGATGCCACCCCCCATTTCCCCCCACTCTTTAATTCGCCTTGTAGATCTTGTCCCCAGATGGCTGGGAGAAGGATTCTCACGGCAGTTCTGATGCTAATCTCCCCATAGGCTGGAGTCTCTGTCTTGCTGGTCTTCTGAGCACAATGCCTGAGAATCATTCATGTTGTTGGGTCTCTAATGTTTGCATTTAATGCTATAAATTTCCCTCTACACCTTGCTTTAGCTACATCCTACAAATACGGTATGTTGTGTTTCATTTCATTCCGTCCAAAATCTTTTCTAATTTCCCTTGAGGCTCTGTTTGATCCATGGATCATTTAGAAGTACGTTGTTTCTTAGGAGATTTCTTCTTTCTGTTGCTTATTTTCTGGTTTAATTCCATTTAATAATTCCATTATGGCTATGGAACGTATCGTGCATGATTTCAATTCTCTTAAACGTGTCCGGGTTTATGTTATGGCCCAGGACTCAGTCTTCCTTGGTGACCATGTTGTGGGCACCTCCCGCTGCTGCTGGGTGGAATGTCTTTCGGGTCCAGTTGGTCGGGTGCTTTTTAGGTCTTCTGTGTACTTGCTGATCTTGTGTCTAATTTTTAAAAAATTGATGACTGGGAAAGGAGTGTTGAAGGCTCCAGCTGTCATTGTCTGTTTCTCCTATTAGTTCTTTCAGATTTTGCTTCATGTATTTCTATGTTCTGTCCTTAGACGTATGCACATTTACAATTGTTGTATCATCTTGTTGAATAGACCCTTTCATCATTAAGTCAAGCCCCACCATACACCTGGTAATTTGCATTGTTGTGAAGTCTACTTTGCTTGATATTAACACAGTCATTCTATTTTTCTTTTTATTAGTGCTTGTATGGTGTATCTTTCCCATGCGTCTTCTTTTTACCTATACCTATATTATCATATTTAAAGCGTGTTTCGTATAGGCAGCATATAGTTGGGTCATATTTTTAGAAATTCCACCTGCTAGTATCTGTCCTACAGTTGGTGTATTTAGGTCATTTACACAATGTAATTATTGAAATTGTTGGATTTAGGTCTGTTGTTCAAATTTTTGTTTTGTTTGCTCCCTTTGGTTTTCACTTTTCTATTTCCATTTTCTGCTTTCTTTTGGATTGTATCAGTGTTTTTAGTATTACATTTTAATTTATCAGTTGGTTTTTAAACTATATCTTTTTTTTTTTTTTTTTTTTGTGGTACGCGGGCCTCTCACTGTTGTGGCCTCTCCCGTTGCGGAGCACAGGCTCCGGACGCGCAGGCTCAGCAGCCATGGCTCACGGGCCCAGCTGCTCCGTGGCATGTGGGATATTCCTGGACCGGGGCACGAACCCGCGTCCCCTGCATCGGCAGATGGACTCTCAACCACTACGCCACCAGGGAAGCCCTAAACTATATCTTTTAATATAGGTTTCTCAATGGTTCCTGGAGGAATTGCAATATATATACTAAACACCTCATTGTCTACTTAAAATGAACATTTTACCATTTCAAGTGAAATGAAGTGGAACTTTAAAACTGTGTATGTCCCTTCACTGTTCTCCTTTTATGTTGGAGCTGCCACGTATTTTACATCTACATTCATTGAAAACCCCACCAGACAATGTTGTCATTTTTACCATCAACATATTGCAAAGACCTTAAGAGGGAAAATAGCGTAGTTACCCACTAGTTTCCTTTTCTGTTGTTTCTTCTTCATTTCTAAGTTTCCCAGTTTTCCTCTGGTATCATTTCCCTCCTGAAATCTTAAGATATCTTTTAGAGTTGTCTGCTGGGGACTAATTTTCTTACTGTCCCTTCATCTGCGAGTGCTTTTTTTTTCTTTTGACCACACTGCAAGGCCTGCGGGATCTTAGTTCCCCAACCAGGGGTTGAACCCTCACCTGCTGCAGTGGAAGCTCAGTCTTACCCACTGGACTGTAAGGGAAGTCCCGAGAATGTTTTCATTTCCCCTTCGTTGGTGGAAATCATTTTGTGGGAACAGAATTGAGAGCTGGCATATCTTTCCTTTGAGCACTTTATACAGGTTGTTCCACTGTCTTCTGACCTCCTGGATTCTGATGGGAAATGTGATGTTTTTCAAATGGTTCTTCCTCTATATGTGACGTGTCATTTTTCTCTGGAGGCTTTCAGGACATGTTTCTTTATCTTTGGTTTTCAGCAGTCTAAGTGTGGTGTGTATAGGCTTGATTCTCTTCAAGTTTATCCTATTTGAGATTCACTGAGATTCTTTAATCTGTAAATTTATATTTTTCATCAAATTTGGGAAGTTTTCAGCCATTATTCTTTCAGATACTTTTTCTGGGTCAACCCGTTATGCCTTTCATCCTGGGGCTCCAACGGCAACAAATGTTACATCTCTTGATGTTATTCCATGGGTCCCCAGGCTCTGTTCATTTTATGTCAATCTTTTTTTTCTCTTTGTCTTTAATATTGGATAATTTCTATTGGTCCTCAAGTTCACTCACTCTTCTGTCTTCACCACTCTCCTATTAAACCCACTCAGTGAATTTTTTATTTCTGTAATCATATTTTTAATTTTAATACCCATTTGGTTCTTTTCTATAGCTTTTATATCTCTGCTGAAAATTTTTACCTTTGCATTTGTTTCAAGGGTGTTTTCCTTACTTGGTGGAGCACATTTTAAGTAATTGACTTAGATGCTTTATGTGACAATGTCAACATTTGGACCATCTGAGAGTTGGCATCTATTCATTGTTTTTTTCTCTTACAAATGCTTGAGATTTTCTTTGTTGTTGTTGCTGTTTGAGTAACTTTTCAATTGTGTCTTGGACACTTTAGATATTATTTAATGAGACTGTGGATCCTATCAAAATCTTCTCCAATGTTCTCCAACATTTCTCTGTCTCTCTCTCTCTTTTTTTTTTTTCTGGCCATCAGCCTGGTTGGGTCAGACCACAAGTTCAGACCTGCCTCCTGTGGGCTGTGGTTCCAATGTGAGTTTAGTTTTCAAAGTCTCTGCTGTGCTACTTGGATCCATCTTGCACTTGCATCCCCCTGGTCCAGTTTTCAGCCTTGGCAGTGGTCTACACCACGACTCAATTCTCAAAGCCTTTGACATGGTATTTGGGTCATTTCCACATATGTCCAGCTCAGGGGTGAGTCTGGAACTTCATATAAAGCTTTATAGGGGACTTTCCTGGTGGCGCAGTGGTTAAGAATCCACCTTCCAATGCAGGGGATGCAGGTTCGATCCCTGGTCAGGGAACTAGATACCATATGCATGCCCCAACTAACGTTTTGCATGCCACAACTAGCGAGCCCGAGAGCCGCAACTAAGGAGCGGGCCTGCCACAACTAAGACCTGGCGCAACCAAAATAAATAAATAAAATTTTTAAAAATAGGCTGTATAGGGTCTCTGTCTTAATCTCCTTCTTATTAATTTCTCTGATGCTCTCTGGCTTCCCGAGTCTTCCTTTCTGGGTCCTCTGGCCATAAAGCAGGAATTTTAGCCTCCTGCACTGTCACATGCTTCCTGTGCCTAGATCCACCTCTGGGTCAAAGTGACGATTACAATAGCTTCTGCCGCTATAGCTGCTGCTACCACCATCTTGGGAGTGCGGCTTTGGGACAGAAATTTGTCTCTGGGGCAAGACCAGGCAAAAGAAAATGAAACAGGGTATTTCTCTCAACTCTCTCTTTCAGGGCATTGCTCCTCTCAGGCCACTGACCAAAAAGGAGGGGTTCTCTTGGCTGTGCTCACTGTGCTGTCCTGGGGTGCAGGCTACCTTGAATCTAATGCACAGGATGTAGGGGGACAAGACATTTGCTACCATATCAGCCTTTCATCAGGTTCTGATTTCTCACCCCAGTCTGTCTAGAAAGTTGCTTTATTTTTTTCTGTGTGATATTTCTGGCTCTGGTCAGTGTAAAGGTGGAGTGCAGTGTGCTTACTGTGTCTTAGCTGGGACTGGAAGATGTTGGTGCCTCTTTTTCTTATTCTTAATTTCAATTCATTTTTTACAGCTTCATTAAGAGAATTTGAATGCCAATGTCCACTCATATTAATGATACAATTTAATGACAATGATTTTTAGCTGAATTTACAGATTTGTGCAATCATCACCACAATCTATTTTTAGAGCATTTCTGTTACCCCCAAAAGATCCTCATGCTCATTTGCAGTCACTCCCCGTTAGTTCCTTCTTTTTTTTTTTTGAATTTTCTTTTTTATACAGCAGGTTCTTATTAGTTACCCATTTTATACATATTAGTGTATATATGTCAATCCCAGTCTCCCAACCCATTAGTTCCTTTTCAAAAAAGAAAATAGATTATCTCAAGACTGCAGAAAAGGGTGGAGATCAGCATCCCTACACCCTTGTACCCACCATCCAACTTCATCAAATCTTAATATTTTGCTTTACTTTGCCAAGAATTTTTTCTTCTTTCTTCCTCATAAAACTACCCACCACACCCCTAATTATTTGGAAGCAAATCTGAAACATCCTGTCATGTCCTGTGCAAATATCTTAACATGAGACTCTAAAAGGTGACGATTCTGTAACATAATCACAAAACCTTTAACACGTCCAAAAGTTTAACAGTAATTTGTTAATGTCCTGTGGTCTGTGCACTGTGACTGGTTGCTATTCTCTCCCATCTCTTATCTCGGGTTCCCACACCTCCTCTCCTCTCTTGCAACCTGCTCTTCATCTTGGGGGCTTCTCTCCAGCCTGGATTTTGCTCACTGCATCCCTGCCAGACCATTAACCCAGCCCTCAGTCCCCATTGCTCCTATGTACTGGGAGGTGAAGTGTTGACGTGATTCGGGTTCAAGAGTAAAAGTTGTGATTTTTATGTTATTTACTTTATGATTAACTTACTTCCTATTGCTGTTTTCTCCAAGGCCTAGGACAGCAAGCAACTAGTGTCTGTGAGTGGAGTGTGTCCTTCTGGTGTCACAGCCAGCGACAGTCACCAGGGGGCGTGATTCGGGGACATTCTCAATCTCTCCTTCCTTTTTTGTTGTATTTTCTGGAATAGTTCCATAAAGAGGAAGTTCCCTTGATAGAGAACATATCATTAGAGTTTGCTCTATTTTTAAAACTCATCGAGACTATATTTGAGGAAGGTGACCCCTTCGCAGGTGCTGTGACCCTGGAACTCTGGATTCTCCGGAACTTCTGAAATCCTTCCTGATACCTTATTGTGTGTTCTTAGTTCACAATCTTTCTTGTTTGTTCTGTTTCCCTTGCCTTAAAAAAAGGATTTGTCATATTTTCTTCTTTTTCAGATGTATACTTCCTAGTTCTATTCTTTAGGAGAGTTCTAATCGTTGTCACATATAAAATTAAATATTTCCTAGCAAAGTGTCCATTGATGAGTATCAGAAGCTGTGGCGTGCCCCCCCTGCTCATCTGTTCTGCTCCTCTAGGGGTTTTGTTTCCAATTGTTAATATTTTTACCTCTATTTTAAAATCAACAATTACTTAGGCTTAACAATTTTTCCTTATTTCTTTGGTCACCTTTCCCTCAGGGACCCTTGGATTCCTCTTGGATTCCTTCATCCGTCTGTCTTTATTTTGGGAGTGCCTCTTCCAAATAGATTTTAGGGTAGTTATGTGTCTGAACCCTGGTTCATCTGAAGGCTCTGCTTTCTGCTTCTTTGTGGATGTAACCAGTGTCTCCTCTTCTGCTTCCCTTCCTCCCCACCCTAACCCTCCCCTTCCCTCGTTCTCTCTCTCTATGTCTGTCTCTGTCTCTCTCTGAATCTGTCCTGTTTTCTTTCTATCGTTAATGTTCTGTGATAGCATCACTATTTAACCAGTTTCGGGACCTTTGTTCTTCCTCCCAAGCCACGCGGCAGCCTCTTCATCTGGGTCCGGTCCTCTCTCTCGGACCTCCTCTTCTGTTGTCCGGGTCTCTCCCCTCTCTCTTTACTGTTCTCTCCTGGAATTGCTGCGGGCAGGGCCGGGCAGATGGACTTGCCTCTTCCCTGCCCCATCGTCCTCCCGAGCCGACGCCCTCATCCTGCTCTCCAGCTGATTTGCTCTCCAGCTTCTTATTCTGCCCTTTGGTCCGTGTGATGCTTTTTAATTTCCGTGACCCAAGTTTGCGTCCCCAGTGCCTGTCTGCTTCTTCTTTGGTGGGGGCATGCTCCCCTCCCGTGTGCACAGTCTGCAGGCCGGGTCCCTGCCTGGGGTGAAAATTCCTGGGCACTGCCCTCCAGGGTTTTCTGTCCCCTGCGGGGCACGGCCACCCCCTCGGCCAGTGGGGGCATCGCATGGTGCCGCCAGAGGCCCTGCTCCCACCCCATCCTCCCCGCACGCTGTTCCACTTCCAGCTGTGAGCGTGTGTGATGGGTGGTGTGTTCCCATTGTGTGTTGCTCCTCTGACAGCCCTCTGTCAGGGGCCCTGTAGGCAGACGGGCTGAGGTTGGAAGGGACACATGTGATGCAATCAGCCACACGTAACTACTTCCTCCAGTTCCTAACTTAGAACAGGAAGCATCGCGCCTTCACCAGTGGAGTCTCAGGCGGGCCGGCGTCTTCCCACACCTGCTGCAGCACCGGCCTGGTGAAGAGCAGAGCCCAAGCCCCTGCCAGCCCAGCCAGGACCAGCCCTGCTGAGACCTCCAGAGCGTCTAGCAGGTGAGTGGACAGAGGCCCCTCTGTGTCTGGGCTGGTTTCTCTGAAGGGGAGCAGCTCAGCCCTGAGGCTCTCCCCCGGCCATGGCTGCTGCCCTTCCCAAGGCAGGCAGCTCCAAGGGGCCCAGCCTGCAGAGGCCCTGGTGGCCCTGGTCCGTGTCACACACCCCGGGACCGTCCACTCTAGGCCCCCTGAGCTGAGACCCGGCAAGGGGAAGTGCTGAGCCTACCGTGGGCAGAGCTAGTGGCGGGGTGATGGGAGGGATGTAACCAAGGAGATGGGACTGGCATGCTGGGAGGATGCACTCAGACCCCAGCCTCGGCTCCCCTGGTAAGGGTCCCTCAACAAGCCCCAGGCACTTGCTGAGCCCCTGATGCGGGGGCTGCGAGGCCGGGCGGAGCCAGGAGGAGGCTGGGGGACAGGCAAAACCCCTTTCTGGTGGGTATGGGGCCGGCACGGCCAGGCTGTGCAGGAGGGTCCCCGGGCCTCCCCGGCTGCGCCTTCCACTTCCTGCTTGAGCAGGTCCTATTCTGTCTTCACAGCTCTGTGGTTGCTGGGGTGGTTCTGTCCTCCAGCAGTGTGTGTGTGTGTGTGTCTCTGTGTGTGTGTGTCTGTGTGTGTATGTATGTGTGTGTCTCTATGTGTGTGTCTGTGTATGTGTGTGTGTATGTGTCTGTATGTGTGTCTGTATGTGTGTCTGTGTGTGTATGTGTGTATGTGTGTATGTGTGTGTGTATGTATGTGTATGTATGTGTGTGTCTGTGTGTGTATTATGTATGTGTGTATGTGTGTGTCTGTGTCTGTGTGTGTGCCTGTGTGTCTATGTGTGTCTGTGTGTGTCTGTGTGTCTTTGTGTGTGTCTGTGTGTGTGTATGTGTCTGTATGTGTGTGTCTCTGTGTGTGTCTCTGTGTGTGTGTGTGTGCCTCTGTGTGTGTGTGTGTATGTCTGTGTGTGTGTGTCTGTGTGTGTGTGTCTGTGTGTCTGTGTGTGTGTATGTGTTCTCTGTGTGTCTGTGTGTGTCTGTGTGTCTGTGTCTGTGTGTCTGTGTGTGTGTCTGTGTGTGTCTGTGTGTATGTCTGTGTGTGTGTCTGTGTGTGTATGTGTCTGTGTTCTGTGTGTGTCTGTGTGTATGTCTGTGTGTGTATCTGTGTGTCTGTGTCTGTGTGTGTGTGTGTCTGTGTGTGAGTGTGTGTGTGTATGTGTGTGTATGTGTGTCTCTGTGTGTGTATGTGTCTGTGTGTGTGTGTCTGTGTGTGTGTGTCTGTGTGTGGCTCTGTGTGTGTGTATGTGTGTACGGTACATTGTCTCGGGGGTGGGTCTGCTGCTTCTCTGGGACTCCCGAAGTTTCACCAGCTCTGGCCTAACGATGTGAGCACGCTGGGTGACAGTTAAACTTTAGGGGGTGAGGCATTGGGTGTGTGACCTAAACCTCCCACAACCAGGCCCCTGGAGGCCTGTCCCCTTAGGAGTGGGGGGACTGGGGCCCGAGGACCTGGACAAGCGCCGGGAGAGGGGACTCACGGCTGCCCCAGGGCTTTGTCCCGACGGGAGTGAATGGAGACATTTCTCGAGGGGCTCGGCCCCGCAGCCAGACACCGCTCCACTGGCCTCGGGTTTCTCAGCGGAAATCTGCGTGGATTGGTCTGCCTGCAGCTGTCAGCTTGCACTGTGCTGGAGGGAAGACCCGGGCCGGTCACCGTCACTTCCTGGAGTTTTCACGAGGGAAGACACCCTAGACAGCCGGGGCCCTGAAGAAGCTCAGCAGAGGGGTCACCACTGTCCAGGGGATGGGAGAGGCCTGTCTGCACCCCGGCAAGGTGGGCAGGAGATAGGCCTGCTGCTGGGCCTCCCATCTGCGAAATGGGCCTGTATTTACACTCCAGCTGACTCTATATCAAATTGTAATTCAAAACTCACTTCCCTGGAGGGGGCGAAGGTGTGGGTCTGCGTCCACAGGGTCCCGCGGGTTCAGCCTCAGGCCGAGCTCCGCCGGTTACAGGGCTGTGGAGAGGCGTCCGCCCCACGAATGGGGCAGCACGGAGCCCGCAGTGGCCTCTCCTGACTCAGGCCCCGCCAGCTCTAGGAAGAGTCCTGGGTGGCAGGGTCCGGCGGCCTGCACACCTGTCACCGCGAGCGGCCCACGGTCCCGCCTGAGCCCACGTTGTGGGACAGCTGCCGGCAGCTAATAACTGTGCCCCCAGCTGAGAAGCCCCGTCCGGCGCTCCCCGCCTGCACTAGGCAGTCTCCTGGTGACGCCACGGTGACACCACCAGGCGGGCAGGGCTGGGATGCTAGTGTGGTCACTGTCCGTTTCCCTTTGCACAAACTGGACCTAAAAGGGGGTGTCGGTTCTGTCGTCACTCAGACCTGCCCGAGCGGAGAGCTGATGCCCGATGGGGACGCTGAGGTGAGGCCCCCAGGGAGCACGCGGCTGGCAGGGGAAGGTGCCGAGTCCCATGGGCCCCGGGATGCCGAGACCCACCTGTCCCAGCCGTGCTGCCACGTGTCACCTGCCTGGCCGCTGGGGCCCTGTCCCCCGTCCCCCGTCAGGCTGGTGGAGTCCACATTCAGCTGTAGCAGCGGGCGGGGTCCCCAGGCTGCTCAGAAAGAGCACCTGCCTTCCCCCTCCCGGGCAGGGTAGGCCAGGTAGAGGGGAGTCCTCGGTGGGCCTGGGGGTTTCCAGTCTCTCCCACCACTGACAAGTGGGTGTCTTGGGGACATGGCAGGTGTAGTTGAGTCCCCGAGCTGCCAGCCTGTGACCCGGGCAGGCCTTCCTGCCTGGTCCAAGGCCCCCCCCACCAAAAGCCGGGGGCGTCCGGGCAGCTCACCCTCCCAGCAGTCGAGCAGCAGGGCTGGGGGTGCCTGGGAGCCAGCGGACCCTGTGGCTTCCGCGTGAGCCCTGGCATGGTCCCTGCTCAGCATGGCACCCCACGCAGCCCAGGTCTGAAACCGTGTCACGCAGGCCCAGGGGTGGGGTGCCACCACCGCAGGGCTCTGATGGGGGTGGAGAGAAACAGGAGCCCGGTACCCTCACTGCCTCTGAAACACACGGAGCAGGAAAGCACGGCTCTGCCCACCCACCTCGAAGTGGTGTTGAAAAACCCTGAGCCTGGGGTGCTCTTGTTGGGGTCTGTAGTAGTGCGGGCTCCCCAGAGAGACAGAACCAATAGGATGTGTGCGTGTGTGTGTGCGTGTGTGCATGTGTGTGTGTACAGAGGCAGAGATTTATTTCGGGGCTTGTACGATTGTGCAGGCTGGCAAACCCCAAATCTGCAGGGCGGGCTGGAGACCCAGAGGAGAGGTGACATTGCAGCTCGAGCCCAAGGCCGTCTGGAGGCAGAGGTCTCCCCTCCTTGGGGGACATCAGTCTTTTCTTTAAGGCCTTCGACTGGTTGGATGAGGCCCGCCCACATCATGGAGGGCCATGTGCTTTCCTCAGAGTCCACTTACGTAATGTTAGGCTCATCTAGAAACAACTTTGCAGCAAACAGCCACACCCAGACGAGGCTTTGAGCGAAGCTCTGGGTACCACGGCCAGCGGAGTTGGCACGTGAAATTCACCGTCACAGCACCCTTGGCTCTCTGTGACGAGGGAGGAAACTGAGGTCCGGAAGGGGGGGTCACCTGTCCACACTCACTCGGCAGCTGGGCGCAGACTTGGGCGTTTCAGCCCCGGGGTCAGGCTGACGTGGGCCCCCGTCCTGGCGTCTGTCCTGGCTGTGCGGCTGAGGGGCTGGCCCTCTCAGAGCCCTCCCTAGGAACAGGGAGCAGGTTTGGTCCACCCGCAGGGCAGCTGCGGGCGGATCGTGGCTGTGAGTACAGAGTGTAGCCAGGCCAGCAGGGTGGCTGCCGTGGGCAGTGCCCTGCCCTGGTCCTCTGGGATCTGGGGTCCTGAGTGGCTGTCCAGGCAGGGACCGCCACCCACTAGCTGAGGCTCCCTTGAGGACTGACCACGTCTGCCGTGTTTCCCAGCGTTGTGGCCCAGCCTTGCACAGCCACTGCCCAGGTGTCGTCACAGAGCAAGCCACGGCCCCTTTCCCATTGGCAGGTGTGGGGTCAGGCCCCTCGGATGCTCAGACCTGGCCAGTCTGAGATGCAGAGGCCTCCGCACCCATGTGGCTTGATTCCGCTGTTCTGGAAGCTTCCGGAGGGAAGGTCGTCTGGGTGGGTCGCACCCTGGGCTGCAGCCAGAAGTAGCTGGAAGGGTTCCCTGCTGGCTGAGGAGCTAAGGTCAGAGGCTGAGGTCAGCCTCCTTGACGGACGAGACCTCAGCGAGCCAGGGCTCCTGCCTGACGGGCCTCCATGGGCACGGGGCATGCGTTCTGTCACAGTACTCCAGGGGCTGGGGGCGCACAGAAAGGCAGCCCCTCGGGAGCCGTGCTTCCACCAATTTATTTTTTTTTGTGAACATATTTTTATTTGTATATGGTTACAAAAGACAAAACAAATGCTTTAGAATTTGTTGCAAGTGGAAGCATCCAACGGTGGTCTGGAGGCCCTTGCTGAACACCTAGTGACGAAAACCCACCAGTTCATTGTTAAATAGTATGGGTGTGGCCGTGCATTGGTGTCTGCAGCAGTGGGGCTTTCGGGTGTGATGGGAATCTGGGGGAGGTGTGGAGGTGCCCTAAGGTCTTGGCAGAGGTCAGAATCCTAGAATCCGGGAGAGCAGTGCCCAGGGGCCAGACAGGCAGCTCTTGTTCAGTGAATGAATGAGTGAGCGAACGAGCTATGAGCAGACGTCCCAGCAGGGGGTCCCTGTCCTCTGAAGTGTCCGCAGTGGGAACAGAGAGACTGACCACTTTAGGAATCTGGAGACATCTCCAAGCAATTCCTCAACCACCACGATATTCAGATTTTCTTAAATGTATGAATTTAAAAGAAAATCATTATATATGTTTATTGTAGAAGGTTTGGAAAATACAAACCAGAGTAATGAAGAAAATTGAAAATACTTATAACGCCACCGCACAGAAGAAACATGGCCTGTTTTGGTTGTTTA